GAGCTGGGTGTTTGCTGTGTTTGGTGTCGATCGCGAGTTTGATTAAATATTGATGGGTAAGAGTGGGTAGTTGGTGAATATAAGATGAAGAGGCTGGAGATATGGGACCGTTTGATGAGAGTGTGATATTGATGAATATAAGATGAAGAAGCTAGAGATATGGGACCGTTTGTTAATAGTATGATATTGGGTGAACAAAATAGTGAATAGAGTCGAGACTAATGATTGGCGGCCACGAGAAGTATTACTGGTGAACAAATTATGGCGCAAATAGAATCCATATCATGAGAGAGCGAAAGCGTTTTTGCTCAAATGACAAAATGGCTCGAAAAGAAAATGTGAGAGTATATTATACCTTTAGGTCGGTTCCGTCTACAGGACTTGAGGTACCCAGTAGTCCATTGTTGTTTGGGAAGAATCAAGGTCAACAAACGATTCAATATGAAAGAAATTGAGATATAATTGTCCGCGAGACTAATAAACAACGAATTCATATGGAATACGAAGTAGCTGGTCTGGCAAAGGTTAGGGTATTCGATATTCATTGGCGTGAACATCAAGAGCAGGCTGAGCAGCCCTAAAAGAATCACGCAGGAAAATCATGAGGGAAATTGGAAAGTTTATTACCAATTCCAGAGGTTGAATACTGCGCATTCGCGCTGATATACCGCCTGGATTTCTTTCGTGAGAATTCGGGAATTAATCGGATGTTTTCGAGATAAAATAAATTTAGATTAGGTGGTTCACTGAATGAGAAAACAAATTCTGCGAGAACAAAGCTCAACTGGTTAAATGAAGCTCGAAACGTTTGCCATTTGAGGAACATCATGAAACTGATATATCAATCCAGATTTTACTAAGAAACAAGGGTGTGGGCAGATTTGTATACCCTTATGTTGGTGATCAAGTTGACATTCATCATCAATGCGACCACCTCACTTCATAGTATGCCATTATCCCAATGAATAGGATAGTGATATAAACAATGAAAAGAAGCAAATGCCTCTTTACTGTAGAACCATTTCGCAACCTGGAGAATGATCATTGCTAGCGATGTATTGGAAGTTTGGATGTGATTAATTACCTCGCAAAACCAACAGAAGGATGACGAGCGAGAACATAATAAAAACTGGAATTTTCGCTACTGGATGATCGTAGATTTAAGATAGAATTATTGTACCTGACAAAGGAGTATTTAATCCAATCGCAAATCATGCCCACAATCATATGCGATGATATGAAGTTTGCATGGGCGAATCGAGTTTGATAATGCTGGTGCGAGATCTTTGAAAACTTGAGTTGATTGGAATGGGACATTGATACAGGTGTCGCATCCAATGTTCGAGGATGGATTGATGAAATGCATGCCTGTATACATAGAGTAGAGAGAGAGAAAAAAGCAAAAAAGAAAGTTCAAGTTCAAGTTCAAGGTCTGTGATTCAGGATTAGGAATATACTCACATCTCCTCCACATATAACCCAACTGCCCACTATTCACGAGGTTGAACCCGTAGCAAGCCTGTGCCAGCTTACTGCACCACAGAGATGGGATCACCGGGATCCCCCTTGTGCCAACTACACAGGTTGCCTAACTAAAACTTTTAGGGGGTTAGTGTTTTGGAACTACGAGCCTACGATACGTACCCATATTCTCCCCTTATGACCCTTGGTCTTGGGAGCTTTTTGTGTACGCATCTTAGTGGCCGCCCTCCAGGGATTTAACTGGAGATCAGTTAGCGAGATGATTTTGAGATCAATTGCGCGAAGCGTGCGTTTGACCACTAGACTATGAACTTGAACTTTGATTGATTTGTAGGTAAACATGATATCAGGAATTATATGGTGCGCCGATATGTTTGGCAAGAGGGACAGTGAATAATTGTGGCTGTGCGGCAATGATATGAGAAACGAACCGTGAGGCAGGTCGGCTAACGGCGGGTAGAGATATATGATAATCACTTGCCTTCCATTCCAGTTCGGCTCATTTGAAAAGATGTGAGAAGTTGAGAATGAGTAGCGTATCATCCATCACCCTCACCTTTGATGGTAGAAGCGCAATCAGACATCCAGGATTCAATCTAAACAACCGGACTTTTCAACGTCCAAGTCATATTCGATGAGGTCCTGAGGATATTTTATTGAATTAGACTAGGTGGAGTGCTGGAAGATATCTCCAGAGGTGATGAAGTAGGATCCCCACCGATGCGAATAAGAATGATGGCGGTCCATCTCACTACCTCCAAAATCATTCGCCCTAGTATATCTTTGCCGCTTCTCATTTCAGCGTCTCTGGGGTTATCGACTTCGAATGAGCAGCTGCGGTTCCTGCCCAGTCCATTCCATGAACTCACCTTCGACTATTTGAACCCTCAATTACCCATCAATACTACAGATGTCGATTGGAATTAGAGTCGAGAAGGTGCTGAATGCGGAGATGGTTCAAGGTTCAAAAATAGAGTCCAGCTGATCGACCAAGTGGTGGAATGAAAGGCATAGGGTAAAAAGGATGAAGAATGGGAAGCAATCCGATAAAATGAGAATTAGACGTACTCTCCAAGCATTGCTACATCTTTGCTACATCTTACTTACATTTCTGGAAGCGCAAAAGTTCGTTTTTGATTGGAATATTGAAGATTTGACTCAGCCTTCCGTCGCCATATTTCAGACCTTGTGAAAAGCATACCGGTAGAGTTGTGCTTCTTGAGTTGGACATTCATGAGTCTATTCATCATAAGTCTCAATGAACCTCAAGAAAGGCAAAGAAGATCAGAGTAAAGACTTGTCGTCAAAAGGAGTTTAGATCTAGTGATCCTTAACTCCTAGGAGGAAGGTACAACCTCAATTAAGTCCACGTCGTTCCACGTGATGTAGTTACTCCAAATGGATTACCCCGCACCAAAGTCGTCTCATATGCGATGTGACATACATGGGTAGGGTAAGAGGGTAAGGAAAGGCAGATTAAACAGAGAAACAACAATTCATTCTTAAACCTTTCAACCTTTTACTTCATCATCGAAACGTCGAGCGATTTGTGGGGATTTTCGGAATAGCTTCATGAAAGAATGACCCAACTTCTCAAGCGCATGCTTCATATCCACTTCTTTTGATACGGAGTGATCGGAATTGTCGAAGTCCACGGAATATCATATTCAGAAGCAACATTGGTACGTATCGTATACCGGTACCGATACTATATTACCCAGCGAAGTCTTTCCATTGAATTGCCAAGGCGAGAATATCGCAGATGTATGTTGTCTCCAATTGTATGTCCAATAGATGGAAGAGATGGGTGCTGCTGGTGCTGGTGCTATGTTCGTGCATCCACGGAAACCTACCGTCTACTCGAGTAGGGAATGTATTATTGCGATAAAAGTTATGCCCTCAGGTCTGAAGGTCAACTTATCCCCAATTTCCTTCCTTTTGATCGTGTTTTCCACTAGCTAATATATGCAGCGATTTATATTCGTGATGGATCGCAGGTTGTCCTCAATAGTAGTGATGGAATGTTTATCGCCGGAATTGAAGCAGAGCCCCGGAATCTACTATCGATGAAGCGCCAGAACGTGCCTGGATGAGGTTGATTACAGGCTTCATCCACAACCCTCGGTATAAATGAAATTCATCATACACACCAACCCAACAGCCCAACAGCCCGCCAACCTCATGTTCCATCCATCCACCCTATATTTCGTGATTCACATATCCTGATCGATAATGATAATTCGAGTCGGTCGGAACGATGGCGTATCGAGTCGGCTTCATGATGAGTGTACTACCTACACGTGAGTATACTGATATAAAATATCCCTTCTTTCAATGTCGAAATTACAGTACTCGAGTACGTACTGTAACCACAGCAAACGATTTCCTTTGAAGACGATAATATCTCAGTGATACAACAGCTATATACTCAGGCCTGGTCGGACCTTTTAGGATCATTTACCCTAGTAGATCCATTAGTATGGGTCCCGAAGACTAGGTTTACCTCCCACAACCGCCGTCACACAATGATATTCTACTGGGGCATTTTATACGTTTTTTAAGTTATTCTTCACTAAATTTCAGCTCGGCTTTCAACAAATTATATATGTTTTACGATAGCTAATATGAACGGAACTTACAGAGATATGGACAAGCTGCTGATTCTCACCAAGGTCTACAACCAATATCCTCATCAGATTCCGAACTTTCCCGAAAGAGTTTAACACCACCACTTCATGTCATACTTCTACTGGTCGATACAGTTTATACTCTCCAAAATGACTCGTACCATTTTGCATTTATACAGGGATGAAAACACAACGACTATGAACTACTTTGAAGAAACACTTGATTACATACTTTTCAGTTGACCATATATGAATGACAAAACCCGATTCGAGTGAATTGAGTGTAGGTGGTCCTCCTCTTCACGATATAAAAATTTGAATGAGTGTCTTGTGTAACATTTACAAGATTCTTAGGTGAGATTCAACGGTTTTGGTGAATTGCATACCTCTTCATTAATGTCAATTCATATCCCCGCCATCCCGGTATTTTCTCTTGAGAGTCTTATTATTCTGAATCCACCTTTTCTTTTTTATACCTTTTCAATACGTAGCGCAGTATTGATATCGGATGAGATACAGCTTTCAGCCTTGCATTTCGGTCATCATCATCTATCTCTACTTCTGATAGGAGGATATCATAAATTGAGCGAGCTGACCCATATAATTACTATAAAATTTCAACCCATCTTTGATCGCACACTCCATCTCCCACATTCAAACACATTTGTTTCCTTAAAATTCAGGAAAAAAAAGATTCGATACCTATTAAGCTAGATCGAAAAGGTGTCCTTAGCTCACTTTTTCTTGATTCTCCTTCCGCTCTTCCCATTCTTTCCCACACACACACCAAAATTTCTTCTGCTTGTCAACCCTCGAAAGTCTTCCATCTCCACTCACATACCCTATCTCCAGAAACCTCATTTTTGTGTCTACTTCATACACATCTATACAATGGCCGCTCGTGTTGCTCCTAAGATGGCTTCCCTCATGGGATCTGCCTCCACAAAGGTCGCCCGCCCAATGGTTCGATCCAACCTTGGTGCTCAACGTACCTTCACTGGTAAGCATAGGACTTTAATACCTTGTTGTCCTTAATCATCAATTGAAGCTTTCATCAAGCTTCAATATATATCAATATAGCTTCAATTATCTTATCATTCGATACATCTATCATCCCCTTCATCATATACCTATCGACAAAATTCAATGGATAATGAACACCTCGCTAACAAATTTTCTTCCCCACACAGCCATGAGCAAGACCTCCAAGACCGCTTTCCAAGCTGTCAAGCGTCAACAAACCAGCCAAATCCTCTCCAAGACCACCCAAATCACCGCCCGCCGCCCATACTCCTCCGAAATGGCCAACGCTCTCGTTCAAGCTTCCCAGAATCTCGGTATGGGAGGTGCCGCTATCGGTCTTGCCGGTGCCGGTGTTGGTATCGGTCTCGTCTTCGCTGCTCTCTTGCACGCCGTTGCCCGTAACCCAAGCATGCGTGGTCAACTCTTCTCTTACGCCATTTTGGGTTTCGCTTTCGTCGAGGCCATCGGTCTTTTCGATCTCATGGTTGCTATGATGGCCAAGTTCTTGTAAATATGTCGTCATGGTTGGATGGAGTGGAGAGGAGGTGTGTATCAATATGGTGGATGGAGATGTGTTGGAAGGTGGTGGTATAAATCATCGGTGCATTGTTACAATACAGGCATTGCATGCAGTTGCATATAGATGGTTTGGATCGATAAGTACAGTCAGATCGATGCATATTTTATAGATGGACTTTCCCCTCTCTTCTCCCTATATTAGAGCATAGATTTTCTAGATTAGACGAACATATAGACAGATGATGAATTGCCTATTTCATAGGGTAGTTCCTGTAAACTATCAATGAAGAACTGTACACCTCTCCTCTTCTTACCTTGTGCTATGCATATGAGATTCAATCTAAAAACTTTAGACTCGGGTCTTGGACTATCTGGGGCCGCGGCTGGGGAATTGGTACTTAAGCAGCAATTTTGTTTGCTTATCGGGCGATATCGGGTGAAAATTTTTCACTTTGATGTTATCGGGGGCTGGGCTATGAATGATCCGTCCGTGTCATCCGTGTTTATCTATCGATAAGGTTGAGACTCGATCTGTGTCACGTGTACTAACTAGTACTCTATTTATGATATTCTCACAGGTTGCTGCAATCTAGAGACTCTTTCTATTTTCTTCATCGCGATTATAGGCTTATCATTCTTTCTTTCCCTTATATGGGTTTACGGGTTGTTAGTTTTAACTACGGTATGGTATCATTTACTTGTGAGATAATGAGATTGTAACATTGGTTGAAAGCATATATACATACTCGTATATTGCATGCATACTGATAATCACCGCGTAGTGCGTGAGCTTGAGGATGTTATGCATACCGGTATTACTCGTAGATACGGTAGAAGTTTCTTTTAAATAAGAGCGTGTTGAGAGGGCTAGAATTGTTGGATATTGAAGAATACATATAAACAAATGCACTGCATTCATTGGCGCTGGCGTTGGCGTTGACCTGTGATGGGCATGGATTGTGGAGTATGAAAATATCTACTGACTGGTATGCATATGATAGACAGGGTTGGTCTTTTGGAAATGGGAGTGTGAGTGAGAAGAACTTGGCCAGTGGGAACTTGGGAAGCGCTTCGGGTTTATGACAGGTATTGACGTCTTTTGGTTAGCTTTTACGTTGGATCCTTTTGAGTGTACTGTATTTCTAAACATATGTTCCGAATATAGGTGGAAGCTATGAGTGAGGTTCGCCAAAATCAGGGGTCAGAGGAACGTGATGTCTAGAAAATTCAGATTTCTTCACAGATGATATGGATTTGGTTGCATTTATTTCTTATCACAAGGGGAGTAGGATCTTAAAACAAATGCAAGCAAGAATTGTATTTTGTAAATAAATACCACCTGTTCTAAATTTTAAAATGATATCTTCGTGTTGAAGCCGTGAATATTGCAAGCCATGCGGTCAGACTCAAAGTTGAGTCATGATGAAAGTAAAGACAGAGCCTCCATGGGATATGAAAAGAAATAGGAAGAGAACGAAACACAAACGCCATCTAATGCAATGCATCTCCACATAGACCCTAATTCCTCAATTCAAATGAAAATAATCAGAAAACACCACGCTATGCCATGCAACCCCCCTGACCACGATACTCCCATATTTCTGACCCCATCAACATTCAATCAATTGACTTCAATCAGTGCCGGTCCAAAAACTGCGTTCTTAGAAACATCCGAAACATTCGCAAAATCATCTCCAATAGCCAAAGCAGCCAGAGTCAATCCATTCCCAGGAGCACCATTCTTAGCACCGGCATCGAATGGAAATTTGGCAGTCAAAACAATCGTCTTTCCATCTCCTTGTAAGTTGATAGTTTGGAATGGTTGAATTACAGGTTTGTTCTGTTGATTGATATACACAAGCGAAAGACCTTTGCATTTATCTCCCCAGGTGTTGTTGTAACTCTGAGTTCTGCTAAGCTGGAATGTAAATTTGATGACGGAGTTGGCGTCGATAGTATCCGGTTGTGTAGCAGTGAGCTTTTGGAAGGTCTTAAGAGGGATAGTGTTACTATTTGGACAACTACCTTCGATGACAAAGTTTTGATTCAAAGCACTGAATGCGAAATCTCTTGTGCTAGCTGTCAAGAAAGGAAGAGCTGATGGGATTTTATGAAGGACTTGGCGGAAGAAACCATTCTGTTCGCCTTCTTGTCCAAGTGATGCTGCGACACCACGGATGAACTTGGAATCACCGTTTGTGCCGAAAACTGTTTGGATATCGCCTAATGTGCCCATGGTTACATCTGTGAAGAGAGATGCTGTAGCTATCGCTTGCTTGAAACTAGTGACGGGGAAGTTGTATTTGCATGGTTGTATGATGGCATTGGTGTCGTTGGTGAAACGAACGATCGCTTTCTCGGCATTTAATGCATGCAATTTTTCTTGTGCGACGATGGCATTGATGTTTGTAAGCGCTTCGTCTTTGTCATCTTGGCTTCCGAATGTGTAACCCATGACGTTGGTAGAGATATTGAAGACGAGTTCTTCAAAGAATGCAACTTCGAAGAGTTCATTGAAGGCGACTAATTTGAAATTGGTAAGACTGTCGTCTCCTCCAACTAGTGCGGGGGGAGGTGGGATATTGGAAAGGGAGCCATGCGCAGCGGTTTGAATTGCTAGCAATGGACCTGTATTTGTTGCTGTTACAGCGGCGAGGAAGTCATTCTTGACGGAGAAAGGAGCTGCAACGATGAGAGTTGAGAGGGATGAGATCCCGATGAGAAGGTTTGAAGTATGCATTATGAAAGTGTAACTTAAATGAATGAAAATGTAAAATGAGATAGTAATTGGGAAATAGAAATTAGGAGACTGGAAAGACTAAATAGGAATCAAAAGAGAGTATGAATAAGGAAATAAGATTGTTGAACAAAAGAGATACATAAAAAGATATGGAGATGAAGGCAGAATTGTTTGGACCAATAATGTACAAGTCTGTTAGAGGCGCAGGATAAGCGCAGAGGCACAGAAAAGCGCAGAAACTTGAAATAGAACTTTTGCGCGATTGTAAGCGCCTATGAAATGTTCAATGTATATTGAATCTTTGGGGATATGAATGGTGAACATGGGGGAAGTTAGGCGACTCAGCCGACCCAAGCGATCGGAAACCTTGATTCCCGTTTGCATAGCCACCAGTAGAAGCTATAAGATTCAATAGCCTGTCATCAATGATTGTGGTAAGAAAGGCTGTGGCTAGGTAAGCATGAATATTTCAATTGAGGTAATGACAACACACAAAGACTTGTAGGGCTGAAGATGTCAGAGGAACATGAAAGGGCTTGATAACCAAATATAGGCTGGCATCTTATATTATGAACAAGTATAGAATTGATTAGAACTGTCTCACCTCAACACCATCGCCATCGGGAATATTGGGAACGGATTCCCGAAAGAAAGAAATACGATTGAAATTTAAAGTCATTACATAAAAGTCAAGTGCTCACTGCACATGTTGTCATGCAGTTGTATGTCAATCTCAAAATAGACAACATCACATCAGTATCGTAGAGAAGGCCAAAACGATTTATTGTGCCACACGAAAGCATAAATTATATGGTAGATAGTTGGATTTAATATCATGCATCTTTCAAACCGGTATCATACACCATAAGACACTACAAGACACGATAATTTGATTTTCTATGCTGTATCTGAACCGCGAATATAAAGTTTTGAATGCGAGGTTATTCCATTAGACTGAAGTATTGCATCAAAATCTACATGATTGTATGAAATCGTGACCAAACTAGCACCCATACCACCTACACTCCGATATGCCTCCGGCTGATATGTCGGAGACAGTAATGAACAATGAGTGCACGTTTGATACGATTCAATATGATATCGAGGAAATCAATTTGAACATCCACTGATGACATGGTAGACGAGAATAGTATCCAACATGTTGCTGGCATGGAAGACACTCCTCCACAATTTCAAGATCGCGAGGCAAGATAATTTAGTGACGAGTCATCTGCCAACACAGAGTGCTGGACCAATCATCCAGGGTATCGACTACTTCTTCTGGCGATAATACGGCTGAGAGAAACTCTTGAATCGAGTTTTCAACGCATGAGGCCCCTAACTTCTTGCTAATTCCGGAGTAGAAGATCCTGCCAAGGGTTATGGTCTCAGACCCAGGGTAGGTATCGATACTCTAAATAAATTGAGTGTATAAGACTTCTGTAAGACTACTGCGTCACCGTCATGGATAAAGATGATGTCCATCGCATTGCCGGGTAAGCATTGTGATGATAAAGCTCTTTGCCGATTGCGGCGACCAGACATGATTCGAATGTTTCGAAATCAAAAGTCATCATCACTATCCTCATCATCCTTTGGTAATAGCATCTTGCTCATGTAAGGACCATCAAGCCAATAGCCTAATCTTCGATAATAATCTCTCGTACCAACACCACTGATGACACTTATCTTTGTGCTCCCATGCTCATTTCGGGCAATCCTTTCGGCCTCCTCCATGAGTAGTGTACCAAAGCCTTGATGTTGGAACTTTCTTGGATCACGAGCATGGACTGGTACAGCTGAACCGTAAACGTGAAGTTCACGAATTATGCTCGTAGGTTGTCCAATAAGCTCAGGCCTGAAGGTATGTGTTGAAGAACACTTTCTCAATCGAAGTAAGCCAATGAGAATATCTTGCTTTGGATCTTCATATGCTAAGAATGTCTCCCATCCTTTATTTGCGGTATAATCTCTTCGTACAAGCTCAACTTGAGAAGGACGGATCTTATTCTTGACCTCATTGATACCAACTTCACGAGTTCGGACGTCACGACATGTAGTGCCAAAATCCTTCATTCTGCTCAAAGCAAGTTCTCGAAGATTTCCGTTCTCAACACCAGATGTAACCAAAGGCATTGGAATATCTCTTTGAACACGATATATACGAGTCCATGGTGGTACGAGAGCTAGAATTCGGGCAACTATATCGACCAGGGCATTTGGTGTGTAGTTCTTGTATCTGCCAGTTCTCCAAAGTTCATATAAACCGGTTCCACGAATGACGAGTGTTGGATAAATTTTGAGACCATCTGTTCTGAAGTCGGGATTCTCAAAATACTCTCTGAATTGATCCAAGTCTCTCTCCATTCCGACATTTGGTAAATCTGGCATCATATGGCTAACAACTTTGAAACCAGCGTCCTTTGACAGGCAGAATGTTTCTGCGACCGAAGCAACAGTATGACCTCTATTGGTATCTCGAGCAACATCCTCGTATAGAGATTGTACACCAATTTCCAAACGGGTACAGCCATATCTCAACATGGCAGATAAATGTGGCTGCAGACAATAATCTGGTCGAGTTTCAATTGTAATACCGACGCATTTGATGTTGCTCATCTCTCCAGCTTGAACTGCTTCATCGACATTGGTTCCCTGATATCCACTCAGCGCGTTATGTAATTGGGAGATAAATCCATCTCTGTAACTTTCGGATAATGACATGAAAGTACCACCCATAATAATATATTCAACCTTATCGACGCTGTGGCCCAAAGACTTGATTTGATCTACTCGTCCTCTGGCTTGTTCAAAAGGATCGTAGCGTGCTCGAATAGCTCTCATCGAGGTAGGTTCGTAACCGGTGTATGATTGTGTAGAGTATTCGAAATCGGAATCAGGTCCACCAGGACAATAGACGCAAATGTTTCCTGTGTAAGCGATGTGAGGACATCGATGTGGTTTACACATAACTGCGACTACCGCAATACCGGAAGCACTTCCTGCATAATTGTTAGCCTCGCAAATGCTGATACGCAAGATAATACATACTAATAGGCTTTGCGATCAACTTTGGAAGGATATATTTCTTATAATGTTCTGGAATGGCGGCGATGATGGCAGTTAATGGTGGAATGTTGCTGAGCCTATGGCGTTTGGACATTTTGGCCCGTAAACTATTCAAATTGATATCCTTCCTCGGCGCATTTGGATCCTGTTGAGATTCATGGTCCTGTACTAGAGCGCTAGCAATATCTGAACATGCTCTCAAGTATCGTTCATTCTCTGGAGGTAAATTCACATTCTTTGGCTTTCTTTGCCTATCCGACAATGTCATTGTATCGACCATGGTGGCCATTTTGGATTTCTTGTTCGTGCGTGCGCCTAAATGAATTCAAATCAAATCCCTCTTGTAGCTCTGCGTAGCTTTCGATATCTTGGATTGGAATCTTTTTCGCCTTGAAAATTCGTAAAATAGCCAAGAGTGATGGGTTCGAGTTATCGCGGGGCACCAAGATTGATGTTCTTGTGTGAAATAAAATTCCAACCACCCACCCATCACCACCGGAAGAACTAAACCCCGGCAAAGTCGGATGAGCCTTACAAGCGGTTCCGTCCGTAACTGAAGAAGTTCGAAGCTGGTAAGAAGAGGAAATAAACAAGACAAATTTCAATCACTTTCCTATCTTTCATATCTGACATCAATTGTCCTTAGACAAGATGCAGGCTTTTTCAAGATGTGCCAGACCTGCGATGCAGGCTGCTCTGAGAAGACAAAGTTATTCCACAGCAACCTCTGCCTACGCTGCTACCGCGGGAAACCTTCGTATCACTAAGGATACTAGAGTTATCTACCAAGGCTTTACTGGTAAACAAGGAACGTAAGTACTGCTACGAGTGTCTACTTGATATTGAGGAATCATGTTGACAAATCCGCGATAGTTTCCATGCCCGGCAAGCTATCGAATATGGTATGTGTTTTCATGCGAATGATGGGGGATTTTGATAGGGTTCTGATATGGAGATAGGTACGACTGTTGTTGGAGGTACAAACCCAAAGAAGGCTGGACAAACCCATCTCGATTTACCCGTATTCGCAACTGTCGAACAAGCTGTGAGGGAAGCCGGTGCTACGGCTTCTGCTATCTTCGTCCCGTAAGATATACCACAATCGCAAAGAATCTGTGATAGAAGGATGGATTGGTGCTGATATAATACACTTTGCAGACCCCCTCTTGCTGCTGCTGGTATTGAGGAGGCTATTGCTGCTGAAATTCCTTTGGTTGTGTGGTAAGAATATCTCAAATTTGCATGTGATAGCATTTATACTGACTGACATGGTTTAGTATCACTGAGGGTATCCCACAGCATGGTTAGTATATTCGGAGCCGAAAAGAATTCAACTAACCGCATTATAGATATGGTTCGCATCACAGATATCTTGAAGACTCAAGGAAAGACACGATTAGTCGGTCCCAATTGCCCAGGTCTCATTGCACCTGGACAATGTAAGATTGGTATCATGCCAGGGTTCATTCACAAACGTGGACGTATTGGTATCGTTTCCCGTTCAGGAACTTTGACCTATGAAGCTGTCAACCAAACCACACAAGCTGGATTGGGACAATCTCTTGTTGTTGGTATTGGTGGTGATCCATTCTCTGGAACCAACTTTATCGATTGCTTGAAGGTATTCCTCGAGGATGAAGAGACTGATGGTATTATCATGATTGGAGAAATTGGAGGATCCGCAGAAGAAGATGCTGCCGAATTCTTGAAGCAATACAACACTGCTAAGAAGCCAGTTGTAAGCTTTATCGCCGGTATCTCTGCTCCTCCTGGACGAAGAATGGGACACGCTGGTAAGTGGACCAATACATGATTGACTGAAAATAATCTTACTAACTCATCTTAGGTGCTATTGTCAGTGGTGGAAAGGGTGATGCCAATTCCAAGATCTCAGCTCTTGAAGCTGCTGGTGTTATTGTTGAGAGAAGTCCAGCAATGCTCGGAAAGACATTACATGCCGAGTTTATGAGACTTGACATGATTTAGAGATTGCTTGTGAATATAAATAGATAATGGGGCGATGATGATGTGCATTTGGGTTTTATGGTTTTCTTCGTCAATACCTCATTCATGTACAGCTAGCAATTACCCATGTATGCCAGTATAGACTTTTATAGACTTGTGATGAAGAGATAATTGAGGCAGAGTTTCTATGTGATTGGTTATTGTGGAGAGAGAAAGCTACCTGACCTTGAAGACCACTTACAACTATTCAACCTTGCATGAGACCATCTAAGAAATTAATTGAAATTTAATATTTATAATAAATCAATGATCTATCAAATGATTTCAATTACCTTACCGGAAATGCTCTCAACCCCTGAATACGGATTACGATCAAAGGAGAATGCTCGGTAAAGATTGAATGTGAACTTTGAACGGGTACAAGTGAGCATCCTCGGCTCTCCACACCTTATCCTCGACTTTCAACAACTGAAGCCTCGTTCATCCACCTATAATCAAAATGCTGTCCGGCATATTGATCTTCAATCAAAAGGGAGAGAATTTAATCTTTCGCGCATTTCGAAACGATTGCCGACCGCGACTTGCAGATGTCTTTCGAATTCAGGTCATCTCAAATGCTCAAGTTCGCTCCCCAATCCTTACTTTAGGAAGCACAACCTTCAGTCATGTCAAACACGAGAACATATACTTGGTCGCGATTACCAAGAGCAATGCCAATGCCGCACTGGTCTTCGAGTTCTTGTACAGATTGATTGCGCTGGGAAAAGGGTACTTTGGGAAGTTTGATGAAGAGGCGGTTAAGAACAATTTCGTGCTGGTATATGAACTTTTGGATGGTGAGTGAAATGCGCAAGTCACAAGTCTTTACTTGTGCCGGGAGCTAATAGATTTGCGAAATAGAAATCTTGGACTTTGGATACCCTCAGAATACAGAGACGGATACACTTAAGATGTACATCACAACAGAAGGTGTCAAGTCGGAACGAACCATGGAAGACTCGGCGAAGATTACAATGCAGGCAACCGGAGCCCTATCATGGAGAAAAGCCGATGTCAAATACAGGAAGAATGAGGCATTCGTGGATGTCATTGAAGATGTCAATCTTTTGATGTCTGCTACAGGAACTGTTCTACGAGCTGATGTCAATGGTCAAATCGTCATGAGAGCATATCTTTCCGGTACACCAGAATGCAAATTTGGACTCAACGACCGATTATTATTAGATGGCGATAGTCTTTCATCCTTACCATCTGGAAATCGTATGGGTACCAAGGCCACCAAAGCAGCAGCTGGTAGTGTTACACTGGAGGATTGCCAATTTCACCAATGTGTTAAGCTGGGCAAGTTCGATACCGACAGAATCATTTCGTTCATCCCTCCCGATGGTGAATTCGAACTGATGCGCTATCGAGCCACTGAAAATGTCAATCTGCCATTCAAAATTCATGCGATCGTGAACGAAGTTGGTAAAACGAAAGTCGAATACAGTATTGCGATACGAGCGAATTATGGTAGCAAGTTATTTGCTACTAATGTCGTCGTGAAGATACCCACGCCTCTGAATACTGCCCGAATCACCGATCGATGTACACAAGGAAAGGCCAAATACGTACCGGAGGAGAATGTTATCATATGGAAGATACCACGATTTACTGGGCAGAATGAATTTGTATTGAGCGCGGAAGCTACATTGACAAGCATGACGAATCAAAAGGCATGGTCGAGACCGCCATTGAGTTTAAACTTTAGCTTGTTGATGTTTACAAGTTCAGGACTGTTGGTTAGATATTTAAAGGTTTTCGAGAAGAATAATTACTCAAGTGTAAAATGGGTGAGATATATGACCAGAGCAGGGTCTTATGAGATACGGTAAGTTCAGACTTTAATAGTATTAAGAAATTTTACTGACAATATCTAGATTTTGATCAAAAGGTGTGTCATTTGGGATGGAGTTTTGGGAAGCGCAGCATAGCCTAGGCGTCGGAGTAGAATCTGGGAATGTAATACAAATCTTCGAGTCTCACTATGATTGTTTCTGGGGAGGTTTACCTTGATTCCCTCACTATTCAATTATCTATTTCAACCTTCGTTACCCATATTCCCATCACCCAAAATCGAACCAAAGAGCACAACCCTATTCTGTTTTATCACCTCCTTTTTTCTAAACTCCACATCAGGCGGTTCTTCTGTTACTTTCACCTTACTAACTTCTCATCACTTGACTCCAATTTGCTCTCAGCTCTACCTAATAATCCAGCCCAAGTTATTATCAACCACAATAGTTTCACAAGAGACTACTGTAAATCAATTCTCCTAAATCTCTTCACGGGGGTCACAAACACCAAGTAGGGCGTGACTTCTCTCTCCGTATCTTGGAGAAAGATCTATCTGCCCACATTTAGATGCTCGTTTCGCGCAGCTGGTATCGTTGCAGAGAGAGATCAAGCCTCTTCTATTCCTCGTTTTTCTTTCATATTTCCTCGGATCAATAAATTACCCCCTTTCTGGGATTTCGACCGACGTTCGTTTCCTGGAGGAGGCAGTATGTTAGTTAGAATTGCTGCATGTGAGTAGTGCTCGTATAATTCATCTTTCTTAAGATTTACATGCGATGCGGCAAGACATCGTTGCCGATTCTCAGCATAGGGGTGGGTTGTTGCGCCAGATAACTTCTTCAATTGCGTCGTAGGGCCATGTGGAATTGATGGATTTTACTACTTCGTTAGTCTTTTGCTCAATTTCTTGCATGTTGTTCATTCTGGTGTTCGAGCCGATGGTAATTTAGATCTTTTCTGGCATTCGAGTACTGCAAATTATATGTGTAAAATTCATTCAGATGTTCGAGTATGAAGCTAGTTTCATGACTTGTGACAAATAATACTCCAAGTCTTGATTAAACATCCAATATTGAAATATTTGACGTATGTATGTGTTGGACTGCTAGTTATTACAAATATCAAAGTTCATTCAATAATAATAATAATAAGAAACAATGTTTACCTGACTTGTATCTATCTTGGTTAATATAGGGCACATCATGATCATGAACAATTTTTCATCCCCCCAAAAAATATCTTTCCTATTCTCGTTTGATCTTGTATAGTATCGGTAGACAACCATTCCGAATCATCTTTGTAGATTAGTATTCGTATATATCCTCGATTGGTCCTTGTGCCCATTCCATCTATACTCGTACATGATTCCCAATCACAGGCCTCACAAACGCAAGCTACCATGTTCAAGTCAATTAGTAGTAAACTTTTTGAAAATTCATGGCTCCTTCACCTTATAGTCCATAGGGCATGAATTTCTTCATAAGGGCTTCAAGTTCATTTCTGGTACTGGCTGTATTATATAGTCATGTTAGTGTGTCCATACTCCTACAGTGATATCCCATAAGACAGTTAGTTCATCTGGTGTCACGAATGCTCCATCCATGATATAATTTAGCATCTCGCGAGTCGGTATACCGTAAGAAAGGAAAGGGGAACATGAGCACCAAGCAGTGGTGTATATTGCAGGGGCGAATGAGCTGGATTTCCTGGAGACGGGATTGGGAATGGGTGTGAGGATACTGTAGTTAGTCTGTAGGTTTTGTGGTGTCGAATATTTCTGTAGACTATATCGGATAACTCACTCAGGAGAGGAATAAATTCACGATAAAGATTAGCTTTGAGAAAGATTAGCCTGGCTGTTGGATTACTCTATATAATATGGGTTCGCTCGATATGTTATATTATGTTATGTTATATTGTATTACATTCGGAGTGAGTTTGCTACTGGCCTTGGGGAAAATAATTGAAGTGAGTGAGGTATGTAGATCGAGGAAGAAAGTGGTGTAATATAACATAACATAATAGCACATATTAATTAAACGATACGGTAGAATCACTGGATGTGTCATCCATAAGCAGATCGATTAGATGCGTTATTATTTTCCTTGATATATATTGATTGTAGTTGAGTAATTAATTGTATTGTGTGGAAAGAGGAGCTAAAGAGCAGCGTCATGTCTTGAAGTTCTATTCGGTCACTCGAGTATTGGTTTATCATTTGTGTTTGCCTTTTGCAGAGGTTGAGAGGACTTTACTGTACGTATAATAAATAGTCTACCTCGATAGATACGTAAGATTTACGAATGTCATCTCATTTATTTGGACATCAGTTGTAAGACTTCCAAAATACATATAAAATACACTACACATTGTTCAGATAATCATTATACCATGCAGCTTTGGATTCAAGGTAGATGTGCCTCGACCAGGAATGAAGGGCTATTCATAGCTGCATTCATGTTATCAAATATGAAGTGAACTTAGGTCACGAATCACATCAAACATAAACAATTGCATGACTAATTAAAAGAATGTCATTAAGAAGTAATTAACCCGAGCGATAGCTCGCCAGCATCTAGCCTTTCTGAGCCCATCGCCCCCAACCAAAAGCATACTATCATACGGTATCATAGAAATCATCATCACACCTCCCAAAAATCGCCAAACCCCATTCCCCTTAGCCCCCTATCAGCCATGAACTTTTCGCTTGTCATTCTCTAAAGCTCGGTATCCTTGTCCCTAATCGCTCCTTTCTCGCCCTCATAGGAAGGTGGAGAGACCTTCTCACTCGCACTTTGTCCGTCATGAATTTCATCCGCGACGTGCATTTGTTCATCATTCTGACTGAGTCTATATTCTTCCTCGTCGATATCTCTATAGACCCAATAGAACACAATCATCAAAATGAGACCAATGATAGTTGGCGCGCCGAAATCCCATGTGAGATATGGATCCTTGATAACACCAGCACATGCAAGACCGACGGCATAAGCAATAGCTTGAGTGAACAAGTTAATGGCAGATACGAGACCTCTCATGTTGGCGGGTGCTCTGGAATAGGCAATACCGTATGCGGGGACGTTGACAAAGAGTTCCGAGATACCACCGATGGCATAGGGGATGGCCATAAACCAAACGGGAATGGAGGAGACGAGGGAGATTCCATCGGGGTCAACGCAAGATTTGGAAGATCCAAACTTTCCGCAGGGCCCAGTCTTGTAGGCGTAGTAGTTGAGGACGGTATAAGCGGCACCGCTCATTGTGGAGAGGAAGAATCCAGTGGTAATTCTAGCAATGGGACCATAGCGGATGTTGCGTTTTCTCAACAAGGGGTAGAGACCGTAGTTGAGAATTGGAGCGACACAAATAATGGAGAGAGAGTTGAAGTTATTCATAACGTCGTTGGGGGCGCCACTGGTACTTAACATGGTTGAGAGGGCACTAGCAGAGCTACCAAGACCGTTATCGTTGATGTTTTGGATAGGGAAGAAACAGAAGATTCCGGTAGCCTCAAAAGTACGCTTGACGTCATCGATAAATCCATCGTTCCATGGGACTTGAATGACATGGTCAGATTTGGCGATATTGGATGGTCTAGCTGCTTCAAAGAAGCCTCCCTTGCGAGTGAAAAGTTTCCTCAAACCACCTCTCTTGAAGCAAATACCGACAACGCGGCAAACGTTTCCAAGATCGGATCCTCCGGGTGGGTATAGGATGAGACGTTTGCGCATGAAGTAGAGGAGGAATGGAAGAGGAAGATAGAGAAGAAGTGGAAGTAGGAAAGACAACCACCAGCCGATGTATTTTTCAGTATAGGAAGTCGGAACACCCATGAATCCACCCACATTGACGATAAGGTAAAACCAAAGAACAACACGTTCGGTAGTGGATTCTGGATCAACAATGACCACTTCACCGGATGGGAGAGTCTTCTTAACGGGTACTGCGTTTGGCATTTGATCGAGAAGTATTGGTGAAATATTAGGTTTGAACATAGCTGCCAGAATATCAGTAAACCGCCGTTACCATGGCGAGATGAATAGAGAAACTTACCAGCACCGAAAGCCAAAGTATAAACACTCAAAAAGAAAGGAGCCTTAGCACCTCCACTCGCCAATAAGTTAGGAGCACCACTTGCACACATGAGAATATGTGCAACACCACATACTCCCACACCCCAGCAAATGATCTTGAATCTACCAGTTTTGGTATCTGCAAGCCATCCGAAGAACAATGGAAGCGCATATGCCAGCATAGAAAATGATTGAGATGTGGCTGTTGCTTTGACTGTACCGAGGCCTAAAGCTCCGGCAGTTTGTTGAGTTCCACGTGGTGGTGCGCCATAGCCATCTCCACCAACGGGAAGAGGTCTGTTGACATAGTTATTGAAGAGGCTATTGCAACCACTTCAAGTGATTACATGTTAGCCAATCCATCCAACGAAGGCGTGATTCCAAAAAGTGTGTGTGGGGGAAACATACTAGTAAGAAGCTCGCTCAGCAAACTCAACAGCACAAATTAGATAAGTGATGGTAGGAAGCTTTCCAGCTACTTTTCGGAGAGTCTTTTTCTCTTCCTCAGTAGGGAGTAATTCAGGATCAATATGATCGTGTCCATGACCTTGAGGAAGAACCAATGCGGCTTCGGTTTCGATTCCGACGGTAGGATGACGTTCTCGTGAGACTGTGTGAATAAGGGATCCTTTCTGGTCAATAGCCAGAACGGCATCACCACCTAGAATGGCGCCCTGGATGTCGGCTGTAACGTTCTCTTGTGCAACTAATTGTTGAAATGTCAGTAATCAGAAGAGAAAGATTATCAAACTGGAGATTGAATATGAGGTATGAGGACAATCGATGAAAAAAGATACATACCCATGATTGCGAGCTTGATCGATCACAACAGGTAAAGAGAAGTGGTCGTAGAAGTGCGACTAAAGAACAAAAACCACGAGGAGGGGAAACACGAGAGTAAATATACCGATGCCGTACCCATTGCTACACGACCCGAATTCACTTACTCCCCTCCCCATTCACTCATCCTAGGACCAACTAATTCGGAACATCTCGCTGCATATGCTGCTCGCATGCACACCCAGCTAGCGTGGGACCGTATCTCGTCCTAAAATACAAGAAATCCCATACCAATCAGCACCGTTATCAGCTGGCTGGTACGAGCTCTTACAGAGTTACCGAACGGCGTACACCAGCATAGATTTGTGTTATATGAAGCTGTTCGAATGCTGATCCATCACGGAGATCGCCTAAATAGGAAGGTGAGTAAGTCATATTGAACGCACAGAACAAATCAAAGCCCGTATCAAATCGTTCTAGAAGATGTAAACTTGGACCCCAGATTCTGAATAAAGACAAGGCTTGTTGTGTGGCCAATATGAATCGAGGGAAGACCAAACTGGTAACACGCTTATTGTATTGTGTTCGGATAAGTTCTGTATTCACCCGAAAACTGGATATCATAATATTACCTCAACTGCAGCAGTAGCATCCACTCAAAGAGATGCGAGGTTCTCTCTTTCCCTCCCCCTTCCGCCTCCACCTTGCCAGCAGCCCGGCCCCCCATCACACAATCAATCATGTCCGGATATTCTCCAATCTCCAAATATTACCCTCCAAGAAACCCAAAACCCACCCTTCCACCATGCTCCCTTCATCTCTATAACAAATTCATTTAAATGCAAGCATTCTTATTTGTCAAGAGAATTAATCACAAACAAATAATCATCTCCTCTTTGCTCCACAATAGGAAGGTAACGTTTGATGCCAAGTTGTCTAAGGATATCGCCAAGCAGTAGAGACCCGATAAGAAATTTAGTCGCACGAGCACGAGCAGCAGTAGCAGTAGCAGTAGTATAGTAGCAGTTAGTAGCAAGTCAGTATTGAAACAAAGCTTTTCTTTTGGTAAATTCAAGGAATCAGCAAAACATGGTAAGGCTACTTACTTACTTACTTACTGTAACTCGGCTCACTAATTCCTCTATACCACGCGACTGGAACAGGAACATGTTATCGGTACGGCATGATGATGGGGGTAGAGTTAGTTGTCAGAAATGAGACTGGGGCGACTGGAACAGGAATATGCTAATCAGCACAGCATGATGGGGTAGAATTTCGAGGTAAGCATATGGATTCAAGTGAGCCGCCGCCCGTTGCCCGTCTGTCTTTCTTTCATATCATATCAGTGATATCACCGTTAGCTCTAACCACCTTTGACCAACAAGCATTCATTTCTTGGTACCAAGATAAGTTTGATGATGGGATGATCCATCCTCAGAAAATGTCGGGGATAGCTAGGTATTTGATAATGACTGGATTTAAAGCTTGATGTCGTGATCAATGAGTGGATGAAAGGGATTTCTGGGCGTTCGAGGCGTTTAAAATTGATACCCGATAGGGGATATTGGACCGAGATGTGGGAATTTCATTTTATTTCATTAACCTCGGTCAAGTCCTTTAAGTAGAGAAGTAATGAGTTGTTGTTGTTGTTTCTTGTATCATTATTATTGCAGCCCCCATCAATCCCATTCTAATTCATCGATATCTATCTACTGTACGAGTATCTATTCTATCCATCTAATCCATTAATAATCATCAAGCCTACACAATATGCAAGCCCGAGGCGAAGCTTTCGATGCATTTCCCTACCATACTGTACCAGAATTGCCAAGAAGTATTATCTTCTGTGAATATTGACCCTACAAGCCACGAGAGATATCTCTCCACCTCTCCCACTCATCGAAATCATCATCACCACAACTCACTCAAGCCCCCAAGTCGGTGAAGGCTGAAAATCAAAAGCTGGTTTTGGTAACTTGAAGGGCTGTTGTTGACCCTTATCCGGCGCTTATTATTTTTGAAAGCTGACAGACAGGCCAAGGAGATATGTCCCAAAATTCAATCAATCAATCAATCAATCAATCAAGGAGTTTATCCTTGAAATGAACCTTGACTGCACACTGTACAGTAGGCATCGGTATCGTTTGGATCGATAAGAGGAGTTAGTTCCTCTGTTGAAACCAAAGGTATGGCGGAACTGAACCTCTTATCTACGAGTAATCTATCTACAGTAATAGAAGAGTTGGAGTATAACGGGTATCCACGCTCACTATCGCTCTTGAGTTACACGGGATGTTATACGGTATTCTTACATTTAAGGATATCGACATTAATGTTTTAGGAAATGATAGAAAGGAATACGAAGTGCCTGCAGGACTTGGCATATTCATCTTTCATTATCTGGGTAACTATTCCAGATATAATTATGGTGAAAGAGCTAGCAGCAACGAACAGTAAAACTATCCGGAATTTATAGACTCCTTCCTCCTACCCTATCCTATCCTATCCATCCACCCATTCATTCTTTCATCCATCCATTCCTTTCGTTCTCTTCCCTTTTCTCAATTCCATCTCATCTCTATTCTTTCCATTTCTCTCCATTTCTCTCCACACCTCTAAAACCTCCAAAAGATCCAAGTAACCTCCAAGTACCCATATTCTACATCCTACATCCCACATCCTACTTCTACCCTACCCTACTCTACCACCCACCCGCAGACATTTTCTCCTTCTCTACTACTTACATATCATGCCATCATGCCCATCCATCTTACACCAAAAACATCAACAACCTACAGTAAACAGCTAAACCAACAAACAATCAGATGACGAAATCCACCATCCATCACCCGTTATCCATCAAATTATCCAACCCAACAGTTGGTAACGATACGATCCAATCGATCTAATAGATAAGTACAATACCGGTTTACCAATGTGCCAACATGCCAAGACACCCACTCACTGTGCCTTTTCGATGGACATGTAGACGGATATTGGATACTGTTCGAATCGAATCAAATCGGATTAGTACATCAGCGCCTATCTATTGCTCGCTCTATCTCACTTTCGTATGTACCCTTATTTTATAAGATGTTTTATAGGATGTATGATAAGGTATGAAATGAGATGGTCACAAGTATGTTCACATCTCAAGATTAGATGGGAATTTGAATTTGATGTATATGACCATTGAATAGCTTCCTATTTTTCAACCTTCATCAGAATATCACGTCCCAACGCTCATCATTCACCCACCACTTCTCTCCTCTCTCCTCTCTCCTCTCTCCTCTCCCCCATTCCCCCTTTCCCCTTATTCTTTTACATCCCATACCCCACTCCTCGCACATTCCTCTATATACTCCTCAAACCCCCTCCCCCTCCCCCTGCTCCCCATAACCCATTCCAAATCCCCACCCAACTTAGCCTCCTCGCCTCTCTTAATCGCAGTATCAAGTTCCACCAAGACATTGGCCAAATCTTCCTTCACACCCCCATCCACCATCCCCTTTACAATATCTTCCTCCTCCACATTCACGTGGATGATCTCTCTTCCCAATGTTCTTGTCAAGAGTGTTGCGACCTCATCGTAAGACCATAATTGATCCCCTCTTAAAGACAATTCACTCTCTACCAATCCCCCTTCAATATCATCACGTCCCCAACCAATCAAAGCTTTATACGCCACAATTGCGATATTTTCCACTCACAAAAGGTATTTTCCCTTTCCCTGTCGCCGAGACTGTTCGATTTTCATCTCGAATTGTGTATAAATGGTGCATCTCCGAGAAATTCTCCATAAACCAACTCGGCTTCAGTATCGTCCATTCTACAGGTCAGATTCGAGATCATTTGGCTCATGACCACCCTTCGTGGAATTCCTCCTTTTCTCCTTTATATAGTTCGACACTTGAGATAGAATTGGTCCATCTCCGCAATGTTGTATACTTCCACTCAGAAACACAATCCGTCTTACTCCCCTTTTAACCACTCCATCAATAAACCTTTTGGCTAGTGAAAGTGCATCAAGAACAGGAGGAGCGATCATGAAAACCGCATCGATCACATTTTCCTTCCACTCGCCGTTTCGATCATGTGCCATAAAAGGATTGTCATAAGTATCCGCATTCAACTAGTCAAATTTGATTCCTTTGGCGTTTGGTAACGATGCGGGAGATGATCCGGAACGGGATGCTAAAAGAACGTAATACCCACCCGCAGAGAGGAGAGGAGCAATACGCCGGGCGACTTTTCCTGTGCCGCCGAGAAGTAAAACAGTAGGTCTACCCATATCCTCATTCTTGACTCGAAACTCAGTACCTTCGTTATTTCTTCTTTCCATCTCTTCCAATGTCCCGTCGTGGGGTCCGTCTACTTCTTAGCAAATACTGGCTAATGAACTAGACACCCAATTGAAGATTCGTGAACTTAGAACCTGATCCTTGATTTATTTCAAGGTGGGGGTGGGGAACGAAAAATGAAACCTGTCAATCCCCCAGTAATTCATTTGGACGATCCGATCACTGGCATAAATCATGCCCAGTCTGGTTCCTGCGGATATGCATGATTGTAATACAAATGCATCATCCATGATCTTAGTATAATTCGTCGTCGCATATCCGAAAGAACCCGAACCATTTTACCCCCTCCGTTTGGTGGCGAACTTCGGTCCTCCCACAATTCGGGCGATGTTGTGCGCTGTTGTGCTGTTGTGCTGTATTCGAATCGATTTTCCGTGAGGATTGTTTTCACAATCTTATAACCTCCAATTAATCTCTTCAAGCAAGAATAAATCTGTAAATTTGTTAGTATAATTTCATAGAGAAATAGTGTTGATGATTTACATGTGAATGCCCATTTGTCGTTGAACTTCTCTCCAATCGAATTTCCGTTCATACTGATGCTGCCTTCTCCAAAGTATTTCCAGTAATTCCAAAGCTCGATCGGCATGCTGTCTCTCATTAGTCCCGGTCTCAAAAACCTCATCCTCCATGATCTCCCCCTCTACCGCTTCTACCCAGAACAAAAACTCACATAAAGCGCAATCCTAGTATCCGCCTTCAACTTCTTCCTAACTATATCCTCGACTACCCAATCATTAAAGATACTTGCGCCTGCTGCAAATAATCCATAATATAACCCCATTTCTAATCCATATCCTTCCGGAGTCTCAGAAGCAATGTCTAGGACCTGTTTGATCGCCTCTGTAACTTCTGGAGGTTGTGGCTCTTCACAGACCGGATCAATAATATGATAAATAAAGAGAATACAACCGTACATGCAAGCTTTGGTACTTGAAAAAGCTTCCGCTTCCAGAGTTTCCGCGACGGTAAGTTTGATATCGCGGGGTTGTCGTCGCCAATCATTAGAAAGATCCCGGAGTATAGAAGGGCAATTTAACCACCACATTTGAACTTCTTGTTTGATTCCAAAAGCTTCTTGTTTGATAATAATTTGTTCTTCGGGGGAAATTTCGGTCAAGGAGCGACTGGATAGACGAGATAAATTGGCCATGAAAATCATAAACACGTGAAATTCTCCTGTCATAACACCACCAGGGTCATAGTATGGCCAGTTCAAAGTAGGTTCTGCTGATGGAGGGGAACAGCCGATTTGCTTTGGACTTTTAGATTGTGGTTGAGCATCTTCAAGCCAATAATTCCCAGGTAGTAAAGGACCTTGTCCTGCGAACAAAGAACCGGATACATCAAGAAGTGCAAAGAATCTGGTGAGAAAATCGGAAGTCTTAGGGCCCCCTCGATGTAAGATGAGATCTCGCGCACCCTTAAGATGCTCTAACCATAAGCCTCTATCGGAATGTGATATCTGTCGTTTGTAAGCCACGTGTACCCGTTGTCTAAGATTGTTGAAAAGGCTACCTCATACACGCATAACAACAGACAAGCTCCCAAAGTAGAATTTTGCTTTGCAACTGAAGAGTCACATAATGCGGTGTTGAGCTCCCTTAAAGCCATGGAATAATGCTTCGTGGCCTTAACTTCATGCTGCTTATCAGTCCTACTCATATGTCCCGCGGCCACTGCAATAATGCTATGCAACAATGCCGGACTAGTCGTTACGAATGGGACCAATTCTTCTTTGAAAGGATTTCCTTCATCATCATTCGCATAAGCCAAGAATCTTGAGCAAAACCCGACGAAATGATGAATATAGGGCATGGTAGTCTTATCAATATTAGGGAATTCAATAACAAATGAGTCTTTCGGAATACGTGTTTTGCCAAGGGCGAGTTGTTGAGTGGTAGGTAGTGAACTAGTACTGGAGATTCCATGACCGTGGGATGTGGTTGCGAGCATGTGAGCTGGAGGTGTACTCCATTTACAATCGCGTTGAAGGCGAATACAACGACCACAATCTGGTTTCCCTTCATCGCATTTAACTTTTCGTGCTCGACATGTTAAGCAACCTTTTGAAGCGTCAGAATTAATACTCCAGAACAGATGAACGATGATTGATGATTTGATTTAAATTGAATTGAATTTGAATTTGGATTTGAATTTGAATTTGATGTAAAAGGAACTTGAACGGACCTGTTCTTGTTCGAGGAACTGGGGCTTTGATACCCATTCCCGGAGCCATTATTACGTTAGTATTGGAGGCATTCAAAATCTTTTTCCCTTTGAACATATCAATAAAGGGATAAATTATCGTGTATTTCGTTGATGTTGGTTGTTGATATTGATGTTTGTAACTTTTGGTAATGTTGAATCTTCAATGTAGTATGTAGTTGGAAAGGCAAAAAGAGTCAATGCTGCAACATAGGTAGTAATAAGAGGGCTGGCTTGTTCTTGCTTGCTTGAGCCCTTGAGTCGTCTTGCCTGTCGATCAATCTTTAATTGGGAGCGAGGTTAACTGTAACTTTGGGCTTGTGCTTACTTTAGATATGTAAGACAAGAGCCACTTTTTGAAGCTTTTACTAGATTTGATTGAGTAAGTTCCGGTCCCAAATTAATTCATTTATATAGGATCGAGAAAAAAGGAGTAAAAAGAAATGAATTCTTATAATTTATATCAGAACTACCCAATAATGATATAACCCTACGGTATATACTGTACTCTTACCTATACTCGATATCCTTGACTCAAAGAGAGAGAGAGAGAGAGAGAGAGAGAGAGAGAGAGAGAGAATGTGTGAAAATCATCATCTCGAGTTCTTTTCGTCATGATTATAGTTAGTTAGTCTTTTGCTTTGATGTTCATCAATCAAGTGGGTTCCAAATTCCAAAATTGATATAGTTTCATAACTCCATACACTTTTAAAAGAATTACTTTCATCATGATTGGTTAACTCTCTTTAATATTTCAAATTGATGCGGGGTGAGTAAACCCTGTAAAAAATGCTTTAGTTTGGCATAGTTTGGCGGCATTTCTATTGTAAAAATTTAACAAGTCGTGAATCGTAATATATGCCGGAAAGTGGAAAGGAGAGGAAAGACCAGAGGAAGATCTGGAAATCCGTGGAAGATGTTGGGATTTATTCATAATCTCCATTATGCACAAGTGCCGGGTAAGTTCATTGAATATTATCTTCAAATATGTACTCGAGTAGTGAATATATAAATATGTGAAAAATGGTATCTAAATTATATCTTTATATATAGTAGGTATCTAAGTAAATAAATAAAAGATGCGTCAACTGCAATTATCATCATCATCATCACTCAACTCATTCGTTCAAGTAGTCTTCTCTAACCTTCTACTACTCTCCGTTCAAGTAGTCTTATCTAACCTCCCACTACTACTCTCTGTAGAACCAGATCTACCTGTATACGTCTCTCTATCTCTAACCTTCTGCAAATCAGTCTTTTCTCTTTCCAAGTACTCTGCACATTCCACTCTACTCTTCGTCTCACTAATCCAAAAGATTGCAACAGTAGGGACAAAGATCAAAGCAGCCACAAAAGGAAAAGCTGCCCATTGACTTCCGTTATGATCGACAATAGCACTTGAAACAATTGGTCCAATCCATGCTGATCCTTTTGATACAATACCCAGAAGACTGAAGAATAAGTACTCTCTTCCTTTGGGCACCAGCTCTGCCATAAATGCTTGACCGTATGGAAATTGGGCGCCGAGGGTAAGTCCATATTGTGTTTGAAAAAGCCAGAACTCCCATTCGTTATGGAATCCAAACTTGGTGGTCCAGATACCTACCATTCCCCACAGAGCAATGAGTACGCAACCACAGTTGCAAAATTGAAGCATTGACTTGGTACGGAGCTTGAATTTCTCTTGAAGATAATAGGCGCCGAAGACTCCCACTGTAGTTGAGCCACCTTGAACCATGATGAGATAGGTATTCTGTGTCGCGGAAAACAGTACAACTTGTGTTTGTGCAATTGATATAAGTGTGAGTAATGTGGCCAATCCATCTGCCAATAGGAAAAATGCAATCAGATAGAAGAAAGTTTGTTTCAACTTCCATACCTGTTTTAAGGCAAAGTAAGCTTGCTTGAAGCCAAAAGAAAGGTAATTCTCTCCTTTGGGTAGAGGTGGTCCAGGTCGTTTCTTTTCCCAGATAAACCATGGAATGGCAAGAATTATCCACCATCCAGTGGTGACAGCGACGGAGACAGAATATCCCCAATTGTTTTGTTGTGTAGAGTCGTTTGCACCAACTCCCGCTAAAGCTGCCAATGCTAAAGCACCGCATATTGTGAAACCAACATTATTCCACCCATAACTAATGTTCATGACTTTCGACCTTGCCATTGAGCACTTGTATTCATATTCTATCTTTGTCAATGCACCATGTGTATAATCGTCTTTCGCTTTGTGGATTTCGGGGAGATCGTGGGCAAGTTTGGGAAATATCGCGTTGAAGAAAACATAGGAAGCCCACCAAGTGACACCTGGGGTAGAAGATCAGATACCATAGATTTTCAGGTAGATATGAAGACTTACTACTAAGAATGTAAAGAGCCATAGCAATTCTCCATTGGGATGCATGTTGTACTCCTAAAAATCCGAACTCGAAAGCGAACGTTAGAAGGGAGAATATTCTAACAACCCATGGGTTCCAATTTCCGAAATCCGCCAAACTTCCAATCGAAAGGAAGAGTACGGCTTGCGAAACGAAGGTCAATCCTGTTCCTATCAGAACCACCGACGTATATTCTTTTGTTCCTCCATTCCAGAAGACATGACAAGCACTATCATCGCTGCAAGGTGCGCTACCCAATGGTAGAATATTTGGATTAAAACCGGCCTGGTATATCAAATTTTGAAAGAGGAGACTTGAGCTGAGAAGGGAACGACGTTAGCACTGAGATGTACAATGAGGGTATCATTTTATAAGGAAAAGAATGCAGTGTCACTCACTATTGAAAAGAGCCAATTCCGTTGTTTCCCGCATAGTATGCATAGTATGACCAAAGTTCTTTCCTCGTGGCAGGTGGTCCCGTATCTCGTCGAAGTGCATGTTGAGAATATGATGAAGGCGCAGTCCCTATAGTTCCAGTTTCAAGAGTTCCATGGTCCTCGGCGCTTTGATATGATTCTGGAGCAGCCACAGCAGCAAATGGTAACTTGCCAACGGTTTCATGCTCCGCACCTGTCATGATGAGGAAATGGATTAAGGCTAATAATATATGAAGAAGCTAAAGAGAGGTGGACATTAAGAGAGGCTTAAATGACGAAGAAATGGGAGAAAAAGTAGAGTAAAGTATGAAATGAATTCTATCAAACCTAAATAACTAGAGGCTAGAACGTCTTCTGCAGAATACGATGCTACTCTGATCTGCGCCTACTTGTGTATGTTTCAATTGGATCAGAGGGGTAAGGAAAACCGTGCGAACGAGCCGTGACTTTCATTGATAATCTGACTGAATTTCGAAGAATCCAGTGAACGGGCACACAAGCTGACTTGGTCCTTGCCTTTCTCCCTTACTCGTACCTACCATACCTATAACTTCACGAACCATCATATGCGGAGAACCTAGACAGGGCAAAGTCGATGGAAGGAGTTATCAATTAGTGGATTGTTTGGATGTCATTGACCTTTTTCTTGACTGGTAAATATCGGTACAGTCAGTACTCGTAGAATGGGGAGAATCGGGACTTAGATAGTAGATACAAGTATATTCAAGAATCAATTGAAGAAATGAAGAAATGAGAGATGTACATCCGTAGGGAAAATCCCAGGGGAACAAAAAAGTCTTAAATGAAAATATGTCCTAATATCCACTTCTTAGAAGATTCTCCCGTTAATCCGTAGATCTTTTTGGAAGAACTTCGGATAAATTATAAAGTTGATTATCTAATACAATAACCTATAAATTTCTATAATTTCACTAAATCTCACTAAGTTTCACTAAAATGACATAATAGTCATCTCGAGTCATTTATGCTCGTCTATTTTCAATTTATCTCTAAACACGACTTAAGTTTATTAACCTTTCTCCGTAAAAATAAAAATCAACCTTTTAGAACCTTCAATTCAATTTATTCAATTTATAATTGGAGAATAAATTCAGTACCGGTACTTGTAATCTATTCACCCCCTCCATAGATGACATATAATTCTCTAAAACAACCTGATTTTCCCCGGTTCCAGACATTCACGGTTCACCCATATCCATATCCATTACTTTTTTTGCTTGCTCTTGCTCTCCCATTCTCCCCATTCTCCCACTCTCTCCCACTATCCCACTAATGACAACTACCGGTAACTTATCATTTAGATCGGAAAGATAAAGAATGAACCTTGAATGCCATATAAGTTATGAACGGTACTCATTCATGTCATTTCCTGGTTCCCACTCCCCGTTGGGTTATTGCTCGCTCGCCTTACGCCGACACTACGGTACAACACCAAAAGAGGGTATCTTTACAATTGTAGGCGAGGAGAAGGGTAACTATTATGTACGCAAACAACTATGTTTATATGAAGATTGCATCATTTGTTTCTTTCTTTTCTTCTTTTTGAAAATACCTACTCTATTCGCTCCATATATTTATCTAGGTCCCTTGCAATACACTTTATATAAACTAATAATATTCCCATCCCCATTCCCATCCCCATCCCCATCGACATCGATATATATCTAGTCATTCAGTATCCCGCATCATTTGGTAGGATGCCTTCCAGAATCTCTTCATGTGTGATCGGTATCGACGTTGGGGGAACCAATACAGTAGGTGGTGGTGATGATTCTCAATCTTCCTTCAAGTAATTGCTGATGAATGACAATAGGATGCAGTGATTTTACAAAATGAAAATGTTTTGGCATGGCATAAAACACCAACAACACCAGATATTCAAGATGGTGTTGAACAAGCAATTGCCGCTGTGATAAAAAGTGCTCGGATCTCCAAAGATAGCATAGATTTCATCAAGATTGGGACGACGGTAAGTTGGTGTTGTCACAGCTATTCACTTCCACTTCTTTCCCTCGAGTCTCGAATCGAAAACCATGAGTCGTCACGTCCGCTTTCTTCTATTGTTCGATATCTTGCTAGCAAAAAGTATCAAGTTGGCGCTTCTCTAGGTATATTTGGTTACCTTTACCTTTCGGCTTTCCCAAATGTTTTATCTTCATTTTGAGTACGTGATTCTTCGTTCATATCTGATTCTATGTTACTACACAGCAATTTGTGAATGCCGTCCTCGAACAGAATGCCACCAAATTAGACAAAGTAGCCGTTATTCGATTATGTGGTCCTTATTCAAGGGGCTCACCACCATTTGGTATGTTGATAGCCGATCATTGTCCATCGGATGCGTCGATTGACTAACACTTATGATCTTAGTTGGATTCCCTGATTCTTTAAGGATGTTGATGGAAGGTCACTATGGTTATGTTGATGGGGGTCTACAAGGTACGTTTGGGAGACATTCTCCAACTCACACAAAGGTACTAATGGGCTCAAGTCGACGGGACTCCAATCTCTGAGGTAAATATTGAACAACTTCGAGAACAAGCTTCAGTTATCAGATCAAAATCAATATCAAGTGTTGTAGTGATTGGGATATACTCTCCATCCAATCGATCCCAAGAAGAATTCGCCCGACAATTCCTTTCCGAGGAATTAGGGCCAGATTATGATATCTCATGTTCACACACTATTGGACGAATAGGATTTCTTGAGCGCGAAAACGCCAGCATCTTGAATGCAAGTTTGAGACGATTTGCCCGCCATGTCATTGTCGGTTTTGCCCACGCGGTGCACGACCTTAAGAATGCGAGCCTCTACATTACGTTAAACGATGGAACTTTAAGTAAAGCATCAATAGCTGCGGAGCATCCAGTCCGATGTTTCTCTTCTGGCCCGACCAATAGTGCAAGAGGTGCTGCACTTCTTGCTAAGAATGAGTCGATGGATCTTGACGGTGATAGTGAAGTTCTAGTAGTGGATGTTGGAGGGTAAGAATTGTCCTCCTTTTACGCTTCTCTTGGGACTTATTGACACATTATAGTACTACCACTGATATATGTGCTCTTCTGAAATCCGGTTACCCCAGGCAATCTGCCGCCTTTGTCAAAATTGCAGGGGTTCGGACCAATTTCACAATTCCTGATGTCTATAGTATCGCCTTGGGTGGTGGATCATTAATACGTACTACGGAATCGGGGAAAACTACGGTCGGTCCAGATTCGGTTGGACCGAGACTAGAAAAGGAGAGTATTGCATTTGGTGGACAAACTTTGACGGTATGAATTATCTTTCTCGAGCTCTAGGGAAAACACTTACATATCTATCTAGGCTACCGATCTTGTATTGTCAAACGAGAGAACCGAAACTATCCCCGATGAACTTAAAGCTGGTGGACATTCGGAAATCCTGCGAGCTTTGGAAGATGCGATTGACCAAGTCAAAGCAAAACAAGGTTATGCTAGAGTTATCCTTGTGGGTGGAGGTAGCATTATTGTTGGAGAGGATATCGCTGGAGTGGGAGAGGTGATCCGGCCCAAATACCTTGAAGTTGCAAACGCAGTTGGAGCTGCTGTAAGTTGAATTCCGCCAACAACCCCAGGGGATGATACTGACTGAAATGTGTACGGTAGATCGGCAAGATTAGTGGACATGTTGATACTGTCGTTACCCCTGGAGAAAAGACAATAGAAGAAGAGATTCAAGAGGCAAAATTGATCGCGATCCAAAGATGCGTTGCTGCAGGCGGCGACGCTAGAACCATCGAAGTTGTTGAAGTCGATACACTACCTATCAGTTACGTCACAAACGGTTCCACACAACTGGTCGTTCGAGTCGTTGGCGATTTATTAAATACTGGGAAAAAGGTTCGCGACTTTAATACTTTCTCAGTATCGAAATCGACTTTCAAACCTCGAAGAGCAGATTCCGGATATAGCGCAAGTGGCTTGGATAGTCCTGTTGATGCAAAGGCCTCAACTTACGATATCTTTGAACACATTGATCTAGAATCTTATCGTCCACGGATCGAGGGTGATATATGGCACCTTTCGGAAATTGATCTCAATTTTCTTATGGATGGCACAGGGGTATTAGCCGTGGGAAGTTGCGGCGAACCATATCCGAGTTACATTGCTTGTTTGATTGCATTGGAGAATGGTGACGGACTGAGGATTAGGAGACAAGATACTATTCCTGATGATGCAGTGATTATGACGGCAGGATTTATGGTATGTTAAGACAAATATCATCCGACGAGAGATCACTAACTTTTGAAGGGCTCACCAACTGTCTATCTGGAACGTATACCCGGCCTGAACGAGTAAGTCTCCTATCAATGTTCAACATTCCTAATTTCCTTGCGCATACTTATCAATACTCTCAGGATCACCGATACAATAAAAGCCCTCATGTTAGCCACTGGTCATACCTCATTCGACGCAACAATACCTAACGAAATTGGTGGCATGAATTCCTTTGAAGCCCTTCTAGCTGCGCATCGCTTCGGAAAACCTACCCTCGACAGCGATTGTGTGGCACGAGCATATCCTATGGTTTGGCAGACCGTGAGATGTCTGAAAGGTGTTCCAGTCACTCCAGCTGCTATTGCCAATGGATGCGGAGGGACCGAAGTCTTCGCTACCTCAGAGAGTCCCGAAGAAGCAGAACTTCTTATGCGTGATGCATGCACAAAACAAGGTTCATTGTCCGGAATGGTGGTCAAACCAATATTTGGAAAAGAAGCCAGAACACTTCCTTCCAATAGTTATTCATGGGCGTGGCAAATTGGTCGCTCGATAGCAATCGCCCGTTCTAAAAAAACCGATCCAGTCAACGCCATCCTACAATCACAAAACGGAACATTACTATTCACCGGTAAGGTGGTGAGTGTTACGAGAAAGGTAGCGGAAGGTTTCACTAGAGGAAGTGTCTTGCTAGATCAAGTTGCTGGCCCTACATTAACCACGGCTACTCGTGATGAGCCTACATCATCACTGTATGTAGAATTCGAAAACGAAAACCTTTGCGCCATTATGAAGACACCAGGGAAAGAAGACGTCGTTTTGGCAGTTTGTCCGGATTTGATCGTCTTCCTCGACATAGCAAACGGTGCACCACTTGGAATATCAGATTATAAATATGGACTCAGGGTTAGTGTTATCGCGCTAAAAGCACCCGAGGTCTGGACTACCGAGAAGGGGTTGGAGATGGGAGGGCCAAGAGCTTTCGGTTTGGATATAGATTACGTTGGCGTATGTGCGGAAAGCGAGTATGAGGCCCCGAAAAGTGTTTGGGAACTCTTTGGTAATGAGGGGGAGAGCAAACTTTAATGTTACCCTTTGGTTCATGGTTTCGTCTATTGGAGCGTGCGCGTGTTCAAGGGGAATGAATTAATGAATGGTATGATGACAGCGATTTGAGACGAACTAATTATTAGAGAGATATCCTTTTGTTTTTACAATACTTTTCAATTCATTTATATATTTCATCAACTTTGACTTGTTCTGGGCTCGGGACTTTGGGGATTGAACTTCTCGAAGACCGGCATATATTTAGAAGGTCAGAAGACCGATATGAAGAGCACGTTTTTACACACAAACTGTTCAAAAATTACGTTGTGTTAGGTAATGTGCTAGTTAGGCCCGAAGAAGTTTGCTTGGGGTGAAAAATTTATATCATATTATATGGTTCGTCTGCACTTCATTTCAAGATTCCCGCGATTGCCCACAAAATCTATTGAACACCCACTTGCTATTGTTTGGATTTGACCTTAGAGATTGATATTATGAAACCTCTGAGCTCTCATTCCATTCCATATTTTATAGACCAACCCTCGAGCTACCTACTAATCATCACTATCAAATCACCGAACCAAATCTTCCTTCACACAGACTCAAACCCCAAACTACCTCCCACACTCCAAAAGCTTTATCCGCATGAAATTAGTACCTCGATCATCGAGGCTCGGTGCATTCTATTCATCCCATCCCATCCCTTCGGATCTCCAACCTTTCATTTCACCCCTTCACCGCTCGGGAGTGGGAGGCTTGGCTATCTATCTACGGAGGTGTGCCGAGAGAGAAAAAACCTTAATTCCTCCATCCATCCATCCTTCCACTTCAAATTTTTTTGGCAATATTTCTATGGTGGTTTTTCGAGATTGGTGATCTACTGAGTAGTCTGATCTGATATTCAACAAAAATATCAATACAACAGATAGACCTTATGGAAATCTTGGTAGATAATCATTGGTGAAATACAAAAAGACTTCATCCCGAGAGAAGCTTGGATAGGTTGGAGCAGACCAGAGCAGATCGGAAAACCACCCGGATAAACAAGCAAAAATGAAGTATCACTCGGTATATCATCCACCGTCCACTTTCCCCTCTTCCACTCCACCATTTTAACTTTAGAGCTTCTCCATATTACTTCTATTTCCCCGCAATCCCAATCTCAATCCCAATTCCTCAAAATGTGGACGGTTAACCAGGGTTTTGATACTCGTCCACCCTTGAGAATGGGATAACTTCACTCGGCATGGGGGATTCGAAAATCTGGGGACCTCACCTGTTTGGATTTTGTATCGATCTACCATCTACGATGGATAGAGAGCTTTGTTTCCCATTGGTCACCTAAGTTGATATCATTTCGGATCTGAGAAACTAATATGGATATATACCACCGGTACGTGTATATAGGAAAATAGAAATTAGGATAGGTGGACGATATCTAGGGTCCTGGACCGGATAAACTTAGACTTGGCTGCATGGAAACTATTCTATACCTGTACCTTACCGGTACTTGCATATTCAGCCCAGCTAAGTTGAAAGTTGAAACTTTGAGGGGACTTGCTAGGCAAGGCAAAACAGGACCCGAGGTCTTGATGCTGTGTGTACCCAGTTGCTTTTCACTTGGATATTGAAGCCCTATATCGAATGAGAGCGAGCGAGCGAACGTTACAAAGAGGAGACCTAAATTCCTTGCGCTTTTCCTCACATGCGCGTTGTGAGCTAATGAAATAAACGGCCATTTATACTTAATTCCTTCTTCTTATCCTCCCCAGAGCTCAAGTTAAGCTCCATTTCCTGGGTTTTCCCCCATTCATATACTCACACTCACACACGAAAGCCATGCGGAACCCAACCACATCAACTCTCCTATTGACATCATCGCTTCTCGGTGCTGCAACATGTCTCGACACCACCATTTCCAATTCCTTTGTGAATCAATTTTCTACCGACGGTCACCTCATTGATTCTACATCTGGGAAGATTGACTATTTCGAGGGTCAATATCTTTGGTATGGTTTGAATTTTGGATGTGGGAAGGCTTTTTGCGGTATTGAGAGTTGGAGTTCGGTGGATTTGATCACGGTATGTTGATATATTCCCTTGCACCTACGTCTGTCTGTTCATTCCTAGCTTCCATGATTGAAAGTTCCTTGACATACGTCTGTTCCAAGTTCTAACCTGACTATTATTTCTTCATAGTGGTCCTCAAATGGTCTCTTGTTTGACCCGACAGAAAATGCCACGGCCACCATATGTGAAGCCTCCGGGGATTGCGGAAGACCACATATCGTATACAGCCCTTCGACCTCACTCTACATCCTATGGGTCAATGCCGGATCCCCTGGCTATGTGATATTTACATCGCCCTCCCCAGCCTCCGGATACGTACTCGAGCCCAGCCGTGCTCTTGTTGGACATCAGCCCAATCTCGAAACCGACAAAGCAGGTGATTTTTCCGTGGCGGTTATCAATGGAACTGGGTATCTCGCATACTCTCTAATCGACTTCAAGACGCTCGGCGCTTCAATCTGGCCTCCGTTCAAACAATCGATGTATATTCAAGAGCTTACGAAGGACTTCATGAACACAACCGGAAATGTCACCAACGTTATTCCCGTAGGAGATCTTGTTGATTATCAAGCCGAATCGCCAGATATCTTTTACCGTAATGGATATTACTATATTTCCTCATCCAATACGTGTGGTTTCTGTCAAGGGACCATCTTGATCATGTATCGAGCCAAAGACATCACCGGACCATGGATTCGCCAGATTATCAGCGGAGATACATGTGGCGGTCAAACCAGCGGTGTTTTAACCATTCCTTCTTCTACTGGAGAAGGAGTATATATCCATCAATCTGACATTCAAGCCAGCGCACCACTTGCGGGCTCCAGAAATGCACAACATGGTCATCAATTCCAAGTTCTCAATTTCAACTCCGATGGTTCAGTTCAAGATCTAGATTGTTCCGCTTCTCTCAGCACCACCGTCACACTTCCAACCGCTGATAGGATTGTTGATGGACTTGCCACAACCGCTGCCCTTGGTTCTGGAAATGATCATCAAGATTACTACCTCAATTGCTCAATTCCTCAATACGCTTTCTATCAGACATTTTCTTCGTCCCAAGCAGGAAATCTCACGTCTATTGGCGTGAACTTGGCTGGTGATGCACCCACAGATAATGTCAATTTGACGATATTCCGCTACAACAATGATACCGCTCTCATCTCAGCATTTTACGCATGGGAGACTCTGTCTACCATGGAAGTGACACCCGATAATTTGAGTGCATCACTCCAAGCCATCGCTGTCCCGGTAGGAAAAGAAGTCGCCGCCGGTGATAAACTCGGCATCGCAATTGTCAGCTTGGGGATCACGCCGGTATGTGTAGCTATGAGAGGAACATCGCAAGCATATGCTACCGGATGGGCAGGACCTGTCCAAGGTGGATTTGTTACTGGTCGGGTTTTGGGGGAAAAGGGTTTTAATGGAACGGGGTCTGGGGGAGTTTTGTATGCGCTGGGTGCTAATCAGGTTAGTTTGAGGGGGAAGAATGGGGATCAAATTCCTATATTGGAGGTTAGTGGGAGGGAACTTAAATGGTATGGGACTGTTGAGTAGAAGGTGGTACTAGATTTATGTGTAATGAAAAGAAAAACGATTGAAATATAAGGATCCAAACAAAACCTCGATCTTTTGCTACTTGCGTAATTTGTTGATTGACCTTTCGACCAAGGTCGATTTCTACCTGAGTATCAATAAAAACATAACTACTAAGTCACTCCGAGAGGACAAATGAACACAATGATAAGGATGTACTGGTTTCATGGAATGTTTCCGGAGAGTTTTTCGAATTTTGGAAGAGTTCTCATCGAAGCCAACTTATAAGTCTTGGTAAATACTAATGTTGCAAGTATCATAGTTCCGTGACGGGCCCGCCTTAGTGGAACAACTACACTGGAAGATTGATGTATCGTTTTGCAATTTTTGTCGCAGTCCGGTTCTTCCAAATCTATCAGGTTTTTTGTCCATGCATGTTGTAATGTGGTAAAGCAATGCCAATAGTCCATACCGGAAACTCGGAAAACTACTTTAAGAAGGTAATTATCGCGACACAGCCAATCATCAGAAGCGATGAATTATATTTAATGCTTCAACAACATATCAGCATCATTTGATTTATTGCTATACTAATTAACAATCATTCCGTTTCCAATATGGGAAACTACTTATACTTCAGTCTGCGACAGGAATATCGCCCTTTCATCAGACTATCGAGATTAACATTTACAGGTTGTAGTGATGGAAGTTATCTGGTATTTACTCCCTCGCTCTCGAATTCGTTTGTCAGAACTACCATGTTTTCGTCAGCTCCCGTCGACTCAGTACAATGAAATGCCTCGAAAAGAATCCTGATATCACTTTGGTCGAACTCGACGTAACGTCGCCTCCCTCAATCCAAGCAGCCTACGAAAAAGTCTCTGCGGCCACGGGAGATATTCAGCTAAGTGTTTGCCTTGGATAAACTCGCCCGCGCGCAAAATTCGGATATTTTGCTCAAATCGTCGATGCCCTAGAGACACTGGCCTGGACCGAAGATGTATGGGATAAAGAAGGGTTATGGTAGTTTGTTGCTGGCACCTAGATACGTGGTTATATTGTAGCTGATGTTTGCAAGGGAGGAGTTCAACAATATTTATCTTCTGCGTCATCTCATATTCACTGTGTTGATGGCAAATCGATACCTGGAGGCAAAAAGTGCAGTCATTTCAACTCTCAAAGGTTGCCGTTATAATTGATTCACACATTGAGGAAGTCATTTGTAAGATGTGGCACAAATTCCTTTTGTCGATGTCAACCGTACCATCCATACTCTATAAATACACCTACGCCTCCGCATCCAAACTTTATGCAACCGACCCTTACATATCTTCCAAACGTCTCCCACTAGAGTACATACAAATCATTCAACACAATAACATGTGCCTCATAACAATACAGCGTTATACTCACTGCTTTTGCACCACAACTCGCATCACCATTTGTCCCGAACTTATCAATAAATATCAACTCTTCTCACACCAGCAAACCAAAGATGTCGGAGAAAAAGAAGCAAAGGACTGCCAATACAGACAAGATGCTAGAGCTTCACTCGAAGATCCATGCGCCAATGCGAGATGTCTATTTGCTCTCGGTACGAAGCGAACGGATTGGGAAATAGGGGACAAGGACATGAATGAGATCTTGACTGCAAGGAGGAATACTGTAGAGCGGAACAATGCGTCTATAGCCAGTATGAAAAGTTTAGGGGATGATGTCAGGTTGAGATGGAGGAGGAATCAATGGACGTGAGAGGTGGGGAAAGATGAAGGGAACAACAGAAGAACATGCCAAGATCTCCGCGTATTTCGGAATGATGGTTTTCCGGAGAAGACGGAATTGTCAAGTTGTCAACGGCCTGTCTCGACTCTCAACCCCCTAGTTTCGAGCCTATTGAAAGATAGTTGCTGAGCATTTGAAATTCCCAAGGAGGGTTAATAATATCGATTTATTACTACCTTCTTGGCTTTTCATTCGTTTGTATGCATCCCACCACCATTCTTACTCGCTTTGACCACACACGAACATATAGCTCTTCGTCAAGAACATCCATACTTACTTGGCTTTACTGCCTCAATACGAAAATTTCTTCTTCTCGATATCCTTTAACACAATATTACACATTGCAGTGCTTGCAGATAACGAAACTTCTAACCAGTAGTACTGGCAAGTCAATGAGTGGTTATGCTATGGTGACTCATTGAAGCTTGGTATAATGACGATGTGGCTCACCGGGAGGTACTAAATTAGTGTGCCAATTGAACCTTTTTTACACTGCCACTCATATTTCTTTGTCTGGACTTTTAAGATCTCCGTGATTCTTATTTCACAGATATCCGGGAGACTTGGCATTTATAATCTGAAAGTTTCTTCCCAATACCATCTGCAATTGTAAATTTGTAAGATCAAGGTTTTTGGAATTTTGACTATGGAAAGCTTACTTAGTAATTAAAGTTTGGTGACTTTGACCTTCCGATGCGTGGAAAGCTCTTTAACATCGCTGTCGCTTCCTTCATTTTATGCTTGGCAATATGATTACTTTCGATATCGCCATCCTCAGCCTCTTCTAGTTCTTGGCAAGTAACAAGCCCTTGAAATGATATCAGCTCTTCCAGGCTCAAAGTCAGAATGCTAAATATGTATAAAAAGAGATGAAAGTTCATCTTAATTGACTTTACTACAAACAACATCACAATCGAACTTCCTCTATCACCTTTACCATCAATCTATCATTCAAATAATCTGGAGTCTCATTACTTCATTCCTATTCATAACAATCAATCCTATTTCAATCAACATGAAGTTCACACTCACCGCCGCAACTGCAACAGCCATTCTCTTCGCATCTACCGTCATTGCGGCTCCTCAAAATGGTATGACATATGCATCTTACGGGAGTTATGGGGCGCCTAGCTACAATCCGAAACCTGCAGATAAACCCGCGGCGGCACCAGTGGTGGCACCTGGCCAAAACACAGGATCACCTTTCGTCTTCACCAGCACATATAATGTAGTTGCTCTTGGATCCGAAGTCAGAAATGGCACCGTGTCAGTTCCTGGTCCTTCGAATGCAATTGGATATTTCAATTATGGTATCAATTCACGTGAAGACACCATTTGCTATGTAAGTTACTTCTCGACATTTCACATTGTCAAACAATCCCTAATCTCATATCAGAACATCACTCTCATAAATGTTGCTGGAACTTATCAATCCCCGGCCAAGACGGCCACTCACATTCACGAAGCCGCTCGCGGTACATCCGGTCCTCCTCGTCTTGCGTTTCCAAACCCAGTTGGAGATGATTCTCGTCGCGTTAGCCTTGGATGTATTATTGGTCCTTTCACCACTGGTCTCAATGGCGCTAATGGGCAGGATACTGGCACGGGTTTCAAGGTTTCCCAGATTGAGGCTAATCCGGCGGGATTCTTTACTGATGTTCACTCTAATTTGTTCCCTTTGGGTGTCGTTAGAGGTCAATTGGCTTGAGCATATGTACATGGGATGGAGGTGAAATTTTTTTGATTTGGACATTTTATTTTGCAGAGTTCGTTCATTGCATTGATAATTTCGATATAGTCTGTTTTATTTTCTGTATTCAGTCGATGTAATTTATGTTTACAAATTGTTCAGTCGCAATCTTCAAGATACAGTGTTTGCAGTGATCGTCTTATGTCTATTGAACTCTGTGAGGTACAAAAAGGCATTCGGGTCTGAAACAGCCATCGTGGTCGAGGGTTGAGCCACCGGTGCGAAGTTGCACAAGTTCCCGATCAGCACTGAGCCCAAGACTGTGTCTGTGGACGCGGTCTTATCCACGTTGGCATTCGTGCTTGCCCCTGAGCACCTGCTTCAAACACAAGATGTTGCTGTATATAATCGACGTGTACCAGTCAGTCCCAACTGGAAGCATGATGCCAATCATGTTATCGGATAAATTCACACTCGACTTCAAGCTCATGGATGCGACGAAGACCGAGAGTACACGGCATAGCCTCGTTCTTCGCCAACAAGGTCAGGATCATATCATTGGGCAGGTTGTGCTACGACTGCAGGATTGTGAGAATGCTGTCGCTTCCGGTTCTGATGATAGTGAGGGGATGCGACTTAGCCACGATCGACGAGACAAACAACGACTGGGTTGAGAGCTTCGCTGCCCTAGTGGATGTCACCGAGATCGACATCTAACCCGACTAACTGCATCACTATTTAGCTGACTTGCTGACGATATTTTCTTGAAACTTTAGCCTAATGACTTAGGCTGATAGCTGATAGATTGGCCACTCTGCGCTCAACTGTAATGTAACTTAACCCTCTCATCAACGTATATGGGACCTCCGACTTTTTAGACAACGTTTTCCTGAGCTCGAGGCCCTTCGCTGGTGATGATTAGGATCGTGATTGAAATGTGGTTGGAAGAGGTCGATAAATTATAGTTCTTGAAGCAGAAAATGCGGCGCCAAGTTGGACTCGCGTAATCTAAAGGGGGGGATGTCGTTGGCTGAAGTCTATTTGTATGTTAGTTGTGCTTTAACAATGAATTATATGCATGTAGCAGCGACCTTGAAGGATTGCTGAATTTGTCGCAATCATTGAAGTGTAGAGTTGAAAAACCATCATCGAATTCAATCTGCTTGTTGAGATAAGTGTGCCAAGTGGCTATTCTAATGACAGTAATCTATTTGATTATACAATCTTGTTCTTTGTCTATCAAAATAGGTGTGCAAATATGGTGGTGGTCTGCTTAAAGATGCAATGGACCATGCGATCTTCATTTCCAGGTGGGCGACCATTCTCAATATCCAGATCAATGGGGATACAGATTTCTCCACGAGCCATAGGATCTGAGCACCATGCGATCTTATTGCCATCCCAAAGTCATATTTGTTGAAATCACCTCGAGAATGAAAGGTGAAACATACCGAGAGGAGGTGACGAAGTCGGAATTCGAGGTGGGGGAGGGGGGGAAGTCAGGTTTTTGAACGAGGTTTTGCAGAGCACTCAGTCAAGAGATCCACAGGAGGAGTATGAGGAGGATTAGATCTTCGCGCAATGCTAGGAGGAGGTTAACTTTGTCGTAATCTTGAATTTCTAGACTAGAGCTGGTACGTTATGAGCGTATAGTTTTGTGAAAATGATTGTCGCATGGCAATGTCCGTGGCAGCGCTCGTGGCGGAGCGAACTCCGTTTTGGTTCTCAGTGTTTTCTAAAATATGTACGTAAGTGGTATAGAATTCAGTACTACTGAAAGTATTGAATATTCTTGCAATATTGAATAGTAACACTGAAGAGATATGGAAATACAGAAAACCCCCGCATTATCAAATTTGAGGCTATTCCCACTGACAGCGTATTCAAGCTCCCCTCCTCTCCTAAGGCCAAGAAGAAACTACTAAATCCTATCAATTTTGTAAATCTCCTCTTTTTTCTCTTTTTAAAAAAAGTCCTATTTATTTTTATTTTATTAAAAAGATTTAATAAATATTATATAATTTAGTTAGATAATCATCAATGTCTTTTCTCATTTTCTAATACAGCTTAAACTAGTCGATATGGTGTCTTCTTCAAATCAGGTTTTATCCAACCTGTAAATGCTATTCGAAGATTATTTGTGGATTTTATTTCTTTGATGAAATTTAATTTCAACCGATGCCTTGAAATATGTTCAACGTGTGTACCTATCCTATGCACTAACTCCATCTTTCCCCAAGGTCACGCAGCCCCAGAACTCGCTAAGAAAGTCGGTTAGAGAGGGGTTTCACATCGTTCAGGCTGTCATATTTTGTAGATGATGAGTTTGAAACAGTAACGGTCAGCTTCTAGAATATTCATGTAACGTGGATGAGGTGATGTAGAAATTATTTATAAATGTCGTGTTTGCGGGGAGCTGATCATAAAGGTTGAGGCTCATGGTAGCCTAAATGGCTGCTGACTTTCTCCTTGGCGCTCATCTCATCAACAACCTGACCGGTCCTGAGGTCGATGACAGAAGAAGAGATCCTCACCGTTGCACCGAGACAATAAAAGGAAGAAAGGCTCAAGGTATTGAATGTCATATATGTTCTCATACATGCATCTGCGTCCCCCTATATACAAGCCGAGATCATCTGTCTAATATAACAAATGAGATATAGATAAGTGCCATGTATTGTAGTCATATCATCTATCCTTCAAAAATCATATAATACTGTACTTGATGGGTATCAATGGGAAAAAATTATAAAAGCTAGTGATCAAAAATCCAACCGCTCCGCGCTATGTAGTAAACAAAAGAAACAATCATCAAGCATCAATGGCATTATCCAAGATCTCAACCAAGATGAAGACATCAAGCCTAATCACTGAATCCACTCTTCCCACTTTCACTCCTTCTACTCTTTACATTATCCCAGCCCGAATCACTTCCAAGATCTTCACTACCATCCTTACTTCCTTCTGTCCCCCTAGGATACTGTCCGACACTCAAATCTCCATCTCTTGTCATACTCACACTAACACTAACATTCTTTGCCACGGAAATATCTCCCATCTTGTAGAGATTATCCGTGCTATCAGTAGCGGTGTGACACCTCCCTCCCATGTTTCCACTCCCTCTATTTCCCCTCAAAACCTGAGAACCTAATCCTCCTGCTTCGATAGTCGTCGTCGTTCCCATCGAATGTCCCTTTCCCATGAATGCAAAAGTCTCCAAACCCGTCTCCTCCCCTGGCGGAAACTCACTGAACACAATATCTGCTCTTGTGCTCGCATACAACAATACATCCAACCACCCATTACACGCAATCATACTACCCGCTACACAGAAATACTCCAAGCTAATCTCCGTCCCGGCGAGAGCTGCAATACGTCCTGCGGCAAGTGGAATGGTACAGATGGTGTAAATCAATGGATAAAGAATCATTAGAGGTTGAGCGCGGTGACGATCGGATGATGTTTGTCCAGGTGGAGAGGAGCGCGATTGATGATGGAGGTATATAAAAATACAGGCGTAGATTAAGACTGTGCCAAACATAGCGACGAAGACCCAAAAGTAATGAAGCCAAAGACGTTCGTCTTGATATTGGCTACTTACCCAGCACTGTACGTTCTCAATCATTAGATACAATTCTATGAAGATATGTGAAGGATTGGAAAGAACTTACCCAAGCAGAAGCCCTCGTGTAAAAATTATGTGGGTGCATCGCGACACCGATAGTCGCCAATCCGTAAACGAATACCCAGCATCCCGCAACAACGGTGTGAAATGCCCATTGGGGAAGACGATATTTCTTCACGACACCGAGGAAAGTATGACATGCGATCGCTGAGATGAATACACTACTGGCCAAATCTCCTGTCGACATAAACCATCCCTGAGCCCAACATGTCGATGTTCCTACTATGATACCATTATTCTTGAGCGAACTGATGTTGAGTAAAAATCCCATTGATTGTTGAATATCGGCGAATAGTAAATTGTATATCAGGAATAAAAATTGATTGATCGGAGTTGCCGTCTGACCTTGAGCGATGGGCGTGCTTCTCTTCCATGATATGATCCTGTAGGTGAGGTACAGAAATAAACTAATCGAACAGAAGAATGATAAAAGACCAAAGGTCGCGACAGCGACTAAACCGCGCGATAGACTTTGCGGTAGAGGTGACAAAGAAGCGGAAGCGTCGTCCAACATTGCTTCCAACATTTTCAGTTAAATTTTGAGCAAGATGGCGACTCGCAGCTTACATACAGAAGAAAGACGAATTCAGGAGTCAAAGACTAGCCTAATAACAGATAGCCGCCCGAGTAATAAGTTCATTTGAAGTTAATTGAACTGTGAGTAGAAGAAGAGTGGAGAGATTTGGAGATATAAATTACGATGTTGCAAAAATTCAAGCTTTCCGCTTGAACTTTAGATGATGCGAATTAGGTTAATTGATCATGAAAGAGGATCTGTTAACGCACGCCCATCGTTGGAATACTGCACGCACGGGAATAACATATGGCAAGCAGGGGAAACCCATCACTGCTAGATAAGTCTTACATGGTTCCATGAAGCTTCTATTTGTGTGATAGGTTCAACGGGGTTCATCAATCCTAGTTGAGAATTAAAGATCAAACATACTCTGGTGGTCCTTGTGGAACTCGATCTCTTTTGGGGACAAAGTAGCGATCGATGAGTACATACCGGTACTACATGGTAACATGACAGATGAGGCTGAATGATTGAATGGATTTATGTATATAAAGTGTACACAATGTACACAATGACAATTTCCCGAGAAACACAAAACTGGAAGATATTGTATGTAATTAACAATAACTCTGAGCTGAAAAACTATCGTCGTTTGGGGTAACAGGTAAGTCACCAAAAACGCCAAGTACAAATAAATGATTGGTTGATGGCTCTCATGCTGTGCGATGTAAAATTTCACCACTAACCATGTAACCAACCCGCTGTGATCATCAACTAACTAAGTAAGGATAAGCCATGAAGCCATGAAGTCATGAAGCCATGAAGCCTTGTAAGGCAAATAATGACGGAGCCAAGTCTGGTCCCGTACAGAATTGTGTACGCCATTGAATTCCACGTGGGAATCTTTGGAGGGAATATTCTATACCGGTGAATGTTTCTGTTGGTTGTCAAAATATTTAAGGTTATTTATTGTCTCTCGGTATGAATCCTGAGGGGATCATAATAGGTATTGCATCCTGGTTTATGTTACAAGTAATAAGTATCCAAATGGCACAGCATAAACTCTGGGGTCACGGGTGTCAATACCCAAAACGGTTGTCGTCTCCGAGTTGACTGACATATGGAGGAGGTATGTTTTATGTGATTGCCAAGAGTTCATTAAATTCATTCGGATTGAGATTGATATAAAAGTATAAAACCAGGAAGAGTGGAGACGGAGTTTGTTTAAATGACTTGAGATTTCATTAATGTTGAAGATCAATTACTCGAGTACTCGAATGAGTATTTAAATACACTGCCACTGCCACTGGTATGCTGGTCCTGGCATTCAACTACCGGTAGGTATATGTCCACAATCTCCTATCTCCCTCTTTTCATCATGATTACGACTCCACGATATAGAGTAGGTCATCGTATCGTGGCAAATAAAAACACGTTTTTTTCAATAAAATTCCTCAATAATTGCAGTATTCCAAAGAAGAAGGGGCCGACCAAAGAAGGGTCACTCACGAGTCACTACCTTCACTTGATACTTGTTCACTGGTTCGGTGGGTGCGAAAGTGGAGATTTCAAGAATGGGGGATGGAGTGCTCTGTTAACTGACTGGTTCCAGCGCTTCTTAGGAGTGGGGAGGCCCGGGAGGGCGGAGATGTGTTTAATTTTACTTTCACTTCCCGCTGCTACTGGGAAATGGTTTGGGAAATAGGTTTCACCCGAGTATCTGCCGGAATATTGGGAGATCTTCATAACTATAATATAACTTCAGGATCAGCAGAAGTTGACGTATGATAACATACTGGTGGGAATGGTCTACCCCATTTGAGTAAGGTAGTCCATCCCGTTGATATTGATCCATGGGACATATCGACGAATGGGGTAGACCAAAAAGAGTCTATTGAAACTAGAAAATCTTTATCACTTGCTTGCAGATGATGTTACCGGTATTGGAATTACCAATATTACAACCACATACACTCGATACACACCATAGTACCCAACAATTGCCAAATTCCAGAGGATTGTTCACTGACACTCACCAAACGTGATTGAAGAACGATAAAGGAGAACAATTTCTGTGAGGTTTCTCGATCATAGTTTCCGCTATTCATTCGTTCGTTGCCATCGGTCACGGTGGACGAAATGTCGTTAATTAATACTACGAAGTAAAAGAATGTCAAAACTTGGACCCTCGTGCTATCCTAGTTTCAGCCAAAGTACCATCTAGCCTTTCACTCTCATCCCTGACTTATGATTCGCTTTCGAATAACTCCTTGACACCTTGATATTGATGGTATAGTGTCCCGTCCTCCTTACAAGCGAAATCCTCTTCGAGATCGTAAAACTCCACCCTATCTTGAGGATACGGAAGTATGCTGGTGAAAAACAACGTGTCATGGGGGACATTCTTCCGTAGAAGGACCATTTCTTCGCCTCGATTCAATATTTCGATTGTGAAGAGGGCGATGTTGAAATTTACTTTGCCCCAGTAGTCTGGATCAGCTAGTAGGACTTCACTGTATTCTGTCTTGAGCTCCTTTGCATCTTCGAGATACTTGTCTAACTTGGCTCTTAGACACCGAGTCTTTCGAGAATCTCCTACAGTTGTAATGTTGTAGGACAAGGCTTCGAGCGTCTCGTCATTCAGCCATGCTAGGCCTTGATGCCCAACATCAATATCACCGCCCGTGCGCTTGCGAAGTCTTTCTGACGTGGAAGTTCCTTCCAAAATAAAGTCAAAGTTTCTGAGACCTGGAAAATTAACTTTGACATAACTCCATATGTCCCCTTCAGCATTTTCCTCTTGACGATATTGATTGAATTTATATCCAAGGGCAAGATGCTGAACCTTGGAAAGATCCAATTGCAATTTGAACTTTTCTAACCATCTATTGTTGGATCTCTCGTGGCGATGCATGTCAAACATGAGTGTATCGATTTCAGGATTAATGTAAAATGAGAAACCGACTCTTTCCGCTCGTTTATCACCATATTCGAATTTGGTAGGGTCCGTTGACGGTATCAGCTGTGTGTAGTTTTCGAGGAAGACTTTTTGCGACTCCCAGCAGACCCATGTGCATGTATCTCCAATAAACTCTCTGCAATGAAAAGCAACAGAGACATCAACCAAATCCAGAGACTCTTCGTTGGTGAAGTAGTGTTGAAGCTGGAAAGATAGGACTCTGGGATCAGGGAAAGCATTTTTCCATATCTTGCAGCGGAGCTCGAGAGGTAGTCGAGGAAAGCAAGTGAAAGTATTGTATTCGTCCTTTTCCCATTTCACCTTGAAAACGTTGATATGGTTATTAGCTTCTTCATCCCAGATAAACATGTCAATAGTATTGTTCCAAACAGGATCGTTGAAGCAATCCCATCCGTAACCATTGGTCGGGCATCCAATTATCCAATGTTCTATATTGCGTCAGTGATGAAAACCATGGTTCAAAGGCACAGGAGGACTAACCAGGGTCATATACTAAGTCGTCAATTTTGAGTGTGGCTAAAGATTCATCGAGGGTAAGAGCTTTCTCTTCACTTTCTTCATCATCTTTGTGTATGGCAGATAAATCCTCAGCGCTATCACGTTTTCGGATTACTCCATCAGCGCCAACGATGCGATCTTGACAGTATTGATTAAAAAGTAGTCGCCTTCTATGATAGTCTCTTCTGCCCGTCGTAGTCATCTTTTTGTTTATGATTTCCTCAGTCATTGGGAAGATATTTTTTTTTGAGGTTTTGGTGTAGGGTGTCTGGTCGAATAGGAAAAGAAATGGTGATGGATGGAAAACTTGAAGGTAAAGAAACGACGAAGACGAAAGTTCAAATTAAATATTCAAATCTCGGCCCCTCATGGTGTTGTTTAGTGAATGATACAAAAAGAATACCTGTATTCAAAGGTGTTTGGGATCAGCCACAACGGTCCTTCGCCGAAGAGTCATCGGGATAGGTACCACGTAATATCAATGTTCGAATATTCGAATATTCCAAGTTAGAGCATGGCCATGAACCAATCTAAACTCATCATTGAATCTTTGTCTATTTTTTTTTGGTATAACATGACAAGTATTGGTACGAAGAAAGTATAAGATGGAAGCGTGCATAGAGGTGGCTCATCGGGAGTACGGGCTTGAGAAGAGTGAATTCTAGAAGATTCAGAGGAGTTGTGTGAAGCTTCAGGTCTTTGGGAGCTACTTCTCCCCCCCGAAAACAGACATGATGCCCTGGAAATATCAATCCAGCGAACCCTATTGTTAAACTCTAGCCTATTCATTCTCTCACACCTCGCTCCAAATGTCCAACTCAAAGTGTTTACGGTATTCTGTCCCCATCTACGAGTAACCATCTAACTACTCAACCTTGGCTCGAATATGGAATCCTACCTCTTCCAGATTTGTAACTTCAGTCCGTACATTCACAACAAGGTCAACAAACTCCCAGTTTTCACGGATGAAACAATATGATTTCCCATGTATCACATGTAAATGATGAAATGCAATCTAAAAGAAGTCCTTATATTCCCATTTACCATAATGATATCGTCAGAAATAAACTAAAGAATAATATGTAAAGAAATGGATATCATATCCAGAAGCCTGTATGCCTACTGTAGCTCCAAAGAACACAAGTCCCAATGACTTCAAAACTCCCAAAATATCCAATCGAGAATATGGGTTTCGAGAAGCCCAGGAGTTGTCAAACAGGCAGATTCTGTGAAGTGAGTAATTATGTGCCATAAATATCCTAAATTTCTCCCTAACCTTCCTTTCCACAGTAAAACACTCCTCCAGAGCCAGAAGACACTGATTCCGGTTGATCGTTGCTCATATTAATGAGGACTTCTTCCTTGTGGATGCCTTGTTCTCCTTCGTCGAAAAGTTCACTGATCCCGTCATATTGATCGGGCAATGTTCCATCTGCGTCGCATCTCAAATGCAGTATGAATTGGGGAAGCTCTACGACCATGAAAGGACCCATAATATGGTCACCAGAGTATGATTCGATGTAGTATGGAACAATATAAACTATCCATACTAGTTTGACATCTATTCTCTTCCAATAGTCCGAATTCCTTGCAGCATTCTGAGAAAATTTCTCACATACCTCAGAACTGTACCAATCCTCCCACTTACTAAGCCTGTTTGCATTTCCGCATGACTCCATCCATTGACAATGTTTTAGCTCTTCAAATATCTGATTGTAGTCTCGGAGTTGGGTATCGGCGGGTGCATCACCAGGAGCTCTATGCAGTTGATAGCCGTTGAAATAATTGGTATTGAGTATAATGAGGAGTCGTTCCAGACTAGGCATTAAGCTCTCCATACTCTCGAAGGATATCCCCGGCTTTTTTTCGATCTCGCCTATCCATTTCAAGTCCTCCTCATCCACCGCAAGAGTTCTCAACGTCGTGAAGTTTAATGCGACTTTATATTTTTTCAGGTTGTGCCAAAGACCGTACATGTGTACGAGGTATAAAGTGTCAAACGCCATGTCAAACCATGGTCCGGGTCCTCTTGTCACTGTCACCTCCTGAAAACTATAGTCCCAGTCAGAAAAATCCAGAATCTTTCTATCGTCATCAACGATTGGTTTAAGTCGACGATAATGCTCCAAAAATATTTCTCTTGCCATGTAGCATACCGATTGTAGCCCGAACGGTGAAGATGATGCAGGATTATTAATTGGTGACTTAACACATGCAATGGAGAACTCAACCCTGGGGCCATCATCACATTTCTTGATCTTGAAATGAGCTCGAACGAATTCTGGTGGTGGAAGAGCAAAGAACCAAATCTTTCGTTGAAGTTCGACTGGTAAATATGGAAATAAAGTGAATGATGTAGCAGGTACTGTAAAATCTAAGCCGAAAGCAATACTTGGGAGAAGTTGTGTCTCGAAGAAGTCGAGCATATCTAGATCGATTGAAAATTAATGAGTCTAGTCTTCACATACGCGGTAGAATGCACCAAGCTTACCAGGGCTATAACAAGTTTCTTCAATATCTTTCTGGCCAGAGGAGACGAGATCTTTCTTAGTGCTGTGTCCTGGAACTGGATGAACTTGGTTGACTTCAGTGATTGAAAATGTCAGTAGCTAGGGGAAGACTGAGGGATCGACGTTGTGGGCAATAATACCTGTAGTGTAGTCCAGTATGGGCTTACATTGTGCCACCGAATGATGAACATCGGTCTCTGCCATGACCTCTCCATCCAGGATAGTTTGAGCAGCCATTTCTGAGCCAACGCTGATTCTACCTTCAACTGGGCTGACATCCAGATAGCTTCTTGCATTCGTCCGGTCTTGAGACTCTCTTTCTGTGGACGTATCTATAGTTTTGTTGCCCTGTTCAACCTCGCCTACTTGCTGCGCTCGCCTTGAAAATGAAGCACCCAAAGACTCCATACTAACTCCAAACTAAGCCCAAACCAAAGAATAAAAATAAGTCGCAAAAGCTCGAACTGTTCGTGGTTGAAAAGATTGAGAAATTTCCGAGTAAGATACGAGAGGATAAATATCGGAAAGTGCGCCAATGGGGAGTCAGCCCCCCCCCCCTCAACAAAAAAGGAGAAATCACATACTCGAGTATAATACCCAGTGAATTCAACGCCTGGACCCCACTTCGAGTTTTGGGTTTTCTTTTGAAAAGATGCTACGAGCTTGATCTCTCATTCAATTTTTGGAACGAAAATGTATAGGAAAGTGTAAGAGAAGAAAGTTTAACATGATTACTTCATCTAACACAAGGAAACTTACAGGCACATATATATACATAATTCGTCGTGTCGTATATATAGTCATATTGAACTACCCGAGTAGACTTATTTTCTAGCTTTTCGATATATGACTTCAATCTTTTATTGAAGTATACTCTACTAATAGTACAATTTTGCCCTCCAAGAACACTTTTATCAATGTCTAGCATGACTATGAAGGTATGGGAGCTTGACTGTCAGCTATATTATTACTTCCATCCTTCTTACATGTTGATTTCCAGGCGCACGGAACATTGGCAGTGGAAGGAATGAGAACTATTAAGAGTTCTTGGGACGTGTCATTCATTTTTATTCACAAATTTCGTGAGGCCGGCGAACAAAATTCATACTCCTCCAAGTATTTACTAATTGTCGCCTCCGTCAACCAGAGTGGCCAATCAGTCAGATATCAGTGTAAGCCAGTAGAATAGAGGTTCAAAATATCATCAGCCAATCAGTAGGGGATTGATTCAATTGATAGCTAGTTTATCAGCTAAAAAAATATGAAATTTTCTTGATTTAGGAGTGGATTTGAGACATTTTTAGAGATATTTTGAAGAAGGAATAATGAAAAAAGGAAAGGGAAAAGTATTATATCGAAGGGGGAAGGGGGAAGGGGGAAGGAGGGGGAGGGGGGTATTGAAGGGAGGAGAGGGAGGGAGTATTGAAGGAGGGAGGGAGTATCGAAGGGAGGAAAGGGGAAGGAGGAGGTATTGAAGGATTGAAGAGGGGAACTAATATTTTACTATTAAATAAAGATCATGTGTAGTTGATAAGCAGCTGATCAGTTATATCAGCCATTCAACGGTGATGACGATATATCGTTAGCCATTTAGCTGGGAATTGAGAGTTCGCTGATAGCTGACCGACTGACTGACTGGCCACCTGATTGGCCACTCTGCCGTCCACTGGTTTAACTCATCTCTCATTCAGCAAAGTGACTACACGTCTGCCGAGTTTGGTCTTGATATCAGTTGGTACTAGGCCTCCTAACCCTTACTTTTGATTTGAGCCTTGCATTGAGCGTTTGGTGTTTAGATTGGTATGGAATAATGAGTAATGTCTATTATACATTTCCGTGGAACATCGGAATGGTTTGGAGTGTGAGAATTAGTTGCTGTTTTGATTTGCGTTGAACAAAGAAGAGAAGGAAAGGATAGAATAGGGGTGGGGCATTTCGAGGAGAAGATGGAATAAAATGCACAAAACCATCGAAGGATAAAGAGCTAATTATTCAAAATGGTGACTTTGAGGTTGATATGAGGTACATTGAATGTTCAGCACTATATCAATGATATGTGTGCTTTCAACCTTCATGATGTTTCCATACGTCAGCTCGTGTCGGCGTTCAATATTATCACATTTGTCAGACTCGCTGATAAATCATTCCTCATTGACCAAAGTCCGAGCATTAACACCGTGTGGGGAATGAATACCCAGCAATTCATGGGAATTACTGAATAATAGCCCAAGTTGAAAACGGATTTCGGTACACAAGGGACACCGATATGATCTTGTTACAAATAATGGTTTTGTAATAAAAATAAAGAAAAATAATTAGAATATTATAGTATTTGTTAAGAATGCTCGATTTATTAATTGATCAAAATATATCGATATAGTATATTATTATATTTGGGATTTAAATACAAAAAGAAAAATCAATATTAACTATATTCTAACCAATAAAATAATTATAAATAAATTAACGAGATTATTAGTAAAAGATATATTCAGGAAATTCATAGAAATGTTAGATATAATAAATTTATTAGATTCTATTTCTATAAATATATAATATATAAATAAATACAAATAGATATAAATAGATATAGATAAACATAGATAAATATAGATAAATATAGGAATAAATAATGAATCTATAATAAAAGGAATATTATATAATATTATATTTATTCCAAAAGAGAATATTAAAAGAATAGTTTTTATAATATATATAATCAAAAGAAGCTCAAAAAGGCAAATCATCTAGGGTTATAGAGTAT